AGTATCCTTTTATTACTAATCGAGCCTTATATTTCTCAATAGTACCATCAGGATTAGTTTTGATTTTATAAATCCATTTGCAAGGAATCGCTTTCCTACCCTTGGGCAAATCTACCATTTCCCAGGTTTGATTTTCTTGAAGGGAATTAATTTCAGTATCCATAGCAGCACGCCACATGTCAGATTCAGTACTTATCATAGCTTGTTTAAACGTAGTTGGTTCTAACAATTCTTCAGTCAAGTTAACATTTTTACATATAAAATCACCGTAACGATTTGGAGGTCTTTTCTATTTCTAAGCGTCATACTGCCTTCATTCTCTACTTCACTTGCAGAAAGCGGTGCAGTGTTAGCCGCTGCCTCATCTACGTCTTGACTATATATGACTGTTCAGATCCATTATGCTGTCCTAACAATATTGGTACAGTACTGTCAATTATATTATCGTTATTATCATTAACAATATCAGGCTCTGTTATCTCGTTATTATCATCATTATTTCTTATGGAAGGTTCTCTAAGAGTCCTGTTTTTTTTCACATTCCACGTCAATATTTGGAAAGTTAAATTGAAAATTTGACTGTTGCTCTTCAGTTCTATATTTACATTGCTCAGACTCTTGTATATTTTCTAGTTCGCTCTTTGAATTTGCCATACTTTTTATAGGTGATACTAAGGGAGTTTCATTAAAAGTTACGTCTCTCGATCTTACTATGACTTGCTGTATATTATCCCATATACGATAGCCTTCATCGGAGTCGTAGCCAATTAAAATTCCCTTCTGAGCCTTTTTATCTAACTTATGCCTTCTTTGTTTCGGAATATGTGGGTAACAAATAGTTCCAATTACTCTTAAGTGAGTGATCCTTGGCTTTACGCCGTACCATGATTCATGCGGTGATTTACCATCATGTCCAGGTCCAGTTCTGTTTAAGATATATACCGCTGTTTGAATCAATTCAGCCCATAAGCCCGCAGGAATTGTTTCGTGAGCATGCATTAAGGTTCTTGTCATTTCTACCACAGTTCTATTTTCCCTCTCAGTTGGATTTTGTTGTGGCGTATATGGCATTGTTAACCGTTGTTTAATGCCTTCCTTTTTTAAAATTGCGCTGACGTTATCGTTGTTGAATTCTCCTCCATTGTCACTTAAAAGTTCTCTTATTACATGACCAGCTGCTTTTACTTCAGCTATCAGAAGGGGAAGTTTTAGGTATACTTCAGACTTTTGGTGTAATAGATATACCCAACGATAATTTGTATGGACATCTTTGAATAGCACGAAGTAACGATGTTTAGAAATCGAATACGGGAAAGGTCCACAAATATCCGTACAGATTAGTTCACCTGGTTTTGATGGCTTCTCTCTAATACCAAACTTTTGTCTATGTGATTTGCCATAAATGCACCCTTCACATAGCTCTTTAGTTGCTTCTGTTTTAATGTGAAATTCCTTTTCCAATAATTTCTTTACATGTAACTTATTCTGATGACCAAATCTTTCATGATATAGTTGTAGTAAACTAGAGGTGGATAGCTGATTTACATCTACAGTTGGTTTCAAGCACCTCATTTTTAAACGGTAAAGACCGCCTTGCACATCTCGAGTGCCAATCAGTTTCTTTGCACCATTTATCTTCATAACGCATTCGAACGGAGTTGACTCGAAGATGCTATCTTTTACGATATCATGAGTGGCTAGGACAGAATAAAGATTTTTACTTATAGCAGGTACATACCATACATCCTTTAAAAGAATTTGTTCAAGTCGTCCCTCTACCTCAGCTTCTGCACGGATTGTACCAATCCCTATAGCTTGGATACTCTGCCCGTTAGCGCCGGTAACTGTGTGCGAACTTTTAAAATAAATGAAGTCCTGAAAAAGATCTCCTCTGTTGGTTATGACTGGTTGCCCCATTGTCAACGTACCAATCTGTAGAATTTTTGACATCATTCCTAAAGTCCTCTTCAATAGTAAGGACCGTCAAGTTCATATTCACAGCAGTCGACTTCTTAGGTGGTCTGCCATCTGAGATCCATTTCTTACATTTCCTTACAAAATGTCCTGTCTCTCCGCAATAGTTACATTTATGAAAATTATTTTTCTTCTTCTTGTCCTTTTTCTTCTTTTCTTCTGCTTTTGTATATAATGCTTCAGAAGTGCTTAGTGTCTCTTCTTCTACTTTGTTAATTATGACTTTTTCGTGGGCACATAACTGAACGGTTAGGTTGTTAACAGTGCGATCGGTCTTTGACATCAAGAGCCAGCTTGACTTAAAACCAAAATATTCAGAAGGGAGAGTATGTAGAATTTGATATATCAATAAAATTTCCGGCAAATCACCAGTTGTATTCAATGCCGAATTTAATTCATACCATATTCCCTTTAGCGATGAAATATGAGTGGCCATGTCATGACTTGGTTCTTTCTGATATCCGAAAAAATTTTGACATAATTCGTACGATCTGTCTATTATACATCCTCCATAAAGTCTTTGTAATTCATCCCACATGTCCTTAGAATTATCAAAGCGCATTAATTTCTGTAATGTGTCATCTGACATATTTGTCGTAAGCAGGACTACTATAGTACTGTCTATTCTATTGTACTCTTCTAAATCTTTCGTATACATTGCCTTTTCTTCTGGTGTGGCCATACCTTGCAATACTGGCTTCGGTCTCTTACCTTCCAACTTTAAGAAATCAAAGGGAACAGGAAATGTAATAGATTTAAGATAGAATATTAGTACGTATATTTGTAGTGAAAGTAATATTTATTTCGACAGAACATTAACAAAACAAGTTGCTAGGTAACGCACAGATAAAGAAGAGCACTATCATTGTTAGATAAAGATCTCTTCTTAACAGATATTATGACTGGTATATTTAATAAGAATTATTTTTATACTAATGGTAGCTAGCGCATACTTTTACTCGCTATTTTTTTTTTTGAGTCAAGCCCTGCTCATAGATTAAAGTTAGTATTTACCTATCCTGCTGTAATAGGTGACAGGGAGAAATGATTATTATATCGGGGTGAACGCCACAAAAGAAAAAAAAAATGATTATTAGTAATGGGAACTAGCCGTTAACAATATATTAAATTGAGCCCCCCACATCCCTCTAGAAACCATCTCACCATGCGCTGACGTTTTGTTCTCCTAACGATAAAATTGTTTGGGGGAAGCAATAGCTAGTATTGGAAGTTTAAAAGCCCCATTGTTAGTACAATACCTTCTGAAGTCAATCTCCATATGCTGCCTTGGAAACCATTGTGATTAATTTTTGTCAAATTCGTCACGATAGCCTGTTTTCATTCTCACCAATAGGTAATGTGGGTATATTAACCCTTTGCACTGTCCCCGTACGGGGGACATCAATCGTTTTATCGTTATTGGCAACATTCACATCCTAAGTCAAGGGGTATATTTTGAAATTTCTAATTTAAGGTTGATGAACCTTCTTGTTACATTGGAATACATTTCCATATAAATAAACAAATTCGTCTTGATTGAACATGATAAAAAATTCAAAGTTATTTGCTAACTTTTTAAAGCATAATTACGAGTACCAAGGGTTTAATATAAAATTGTTTTTTTTTTACAACGCAGGGGGCAAACGAGCATGCGGCTCACCTGATGGTAAGTGACTACCGCCGCCCATGATCACCCACAACACCAGCGGCATTGCAGGTGTGCTGCCGGCCTTTTAAAAAGGAATATACTCTTTTCTTGAAGGTTATGTTGTCGTATCGGTTCGGAAATACTGCTGCTGGAAGTTGATTCCAAAGAATGGTTGTGCGTGGAAGAAAGTGCCTTGAAAAACGCACGGTGGAAGGAAAAGAATTGTTAGAAATGGGGGTCTAACTGACCCATTGCTAGAAATACACCCTATCAAATCGACATCCATGCGGATCTACCTGAAAACTATTGTTATTAATTGTAGTGGAATTTGTCATGATGGGCTAAGTGCTCCACCGCGTATACCGATAGTGCAGGCAGGGTTACCATTTCATTATCACCCATTTAAAATATATATCGTCATAGTCGTAGAATACTGACGGATCTATAATATTTATCAGATCAGGTCAGGTGTGACGTACGGACAGTCCCTCTTGGGAACCAGGAACACCTATCATCCTTTACTGCTACCTTACTAGTGTACATCATTTATATAAGTATGTATCTCTATAATACAATTTCATCTTTGTCTGTTAATTTAATCATACAGAGTTACACTCGAGATTCGTTACATGCGTCCATGTAGCTTGCAATTCAAACTGCAGCTGAAAATCAGTACTTTGCTTTTAAGCAAATCTATTACTGAGCTGTAGCCTATTTGGGTCACTAGGATACACATGATGAAAACATATTTTTGTATTTTATCTTATGGTTTATATTTAAAAAACTGTAATTAATTCGATTGTATGAAGTCATTTGTTAATTTACATGTCATAAATAGCTACCATAAAGTGTCTATCTTTTTATTTAGTATATATTGTACACTATAATATATACATAAAATAATATGTAAAAATCATACATCATGTATGACAAATTATAAAAATGCCCATATGGCACAAGCATTTTGCTAATCTTTATGAGAATTTTGCTGGTATTTGTTTTTTTTCCTGAATATACTACTGCCAAATAGAATTTTTCATATTGAAAGAACAAAATCATATCTATTTGTGTAAGTAAATATAATGTGCAAATATGAAGAAATAATTTTTCAAGCTATGAAAATCAACTCATTTTCTTGCACTGCATATTTATAAGTGATTTAACATTTTCAGCCATTCTAGTCTTTCTTTAACCCCAATGGGTGCTAATGTAATTATTTGCCACCAATGCTGTATAAAAAATATATATATTTGACTTTTGCAAACATGTCTTATTTGTATCACATTTACACTACACTCGAGATTAGAGATCACAACATTAGAGATTTTTTATTTAACAATAAATAGTACTTGTGTATTTAAAAATAAACTCAATAAGATAAAAAATATAAAAGAATGTAATTGCTCATATATCTATAATGACAAATACTTCATACTTATTATCCTTTGGTTCATCAACAATTTGCATAGCTGAATATGTTATTGCTTTCACTTCTGTCCCTTGAGGGTGCTTCCCAATTTGGAATTCTTCACCATAACACTTACAAACTATTTTGAATTCTTCAGTATTGAATTCTGTGATAACAACCTTTTTACATATTAAATATGGTTCAACAGAGAATAAATAGAGTAATTCATCAAGAAAGTGATATAACAAGCCCATCATATCATCAGCATTAGCTTCTATTGTATGGACTTCTTTGATTTCCACATAGGCCAGGTCTGTCATGTAGCCAAACATTGCCATGCCACACTGCTCAAATGCTTCCTTCATACTGTTGCCCCATGCATGCAACCTGCAAATTAAATATAATGAAGAATTTATAATAGAACTTTTAAAGTTCAACAGTAGAGGTCAATTGAATAAAGAATTAGATTCTCAACATTTAATTCATCACTTTCACCAGATGCAAACTTTGTGCAAAATTCATCTGCTTAGGCACCTATATCAAACTAATATTTCTGTTGTAAAGTAACTATGTTTTACACAAGTAAAACCTTAATCTTCAAGATTGGTAATGCATGAATGCATATTCTGTAAAATAAATCATTTTCCATCAGAAGTTTTAGGTAGTAATAAAATGTATTTTAAAAAATATGATTATTTACAACCAGTAGCGGTACCTGGTATCATGGTATAGAATGATCATTGAGATGGTGTCCATACTCTAGTCGGTCACTCTGTGTACATAATTGTTAGCTGTTTTATTGATATGTACAAATACACACATTTTATATAATCTGTGTTTTTACTATACAAATAGGGTGCACACTCTTAACAAGATGAGTTGTCAGATTATTAGCCATACTATGTGCACTTAAAAAAACATTTCCAGACAGACAGATTAATATTGATGTATATTATGTTTCTGTTAACTTTTTTGTAATCATTATGAAATCTTCCATAGCTTGCACAATGATTAATAAGTGAGCCCAGCATGGTCTGCCTGCTTAATTGGATATATTTACAGCGATCCCTATGATCACAAGTTATTAATGAAATACAATTAAGTACTGAAATAGAAATGTCACTGAATCCATAGCCCATTACTTTACGATACTGTATTCTTGTTTTTAACAATTCAATTACTAAAATTACCTAATTGAATTTAATGAAACTAGAACAATATAGTTATTCAGAATTGACAACATGTGAAATAATGATAAGTAGCTAATTTTATACTTACTGAACGTCAGCAGTATGATCCAAATCTGAAAGATAATAAAAATTATTATAATAATATTTAATCGTTACGATGAACATTAGGATGATTTTTAAAAGTAAAGAAAACTTATGTTAAGAACCTCCTTGGTTCAATGGCAGGCGATATGCATTCTAGCAGCGCTTGTCAATGTAAAATAAAGAAAAATAATATTTGAATAAATATGACAGATTACCCTTTTGTCTTATATACTATGAACATTGACTGAACTTTCTAACTGACTAATATTAACTAGTGTAGGTAACCAAAATCCTAGTCCTGGTTTTCCTTAACATTGATCCTGATCCCGGCGTTGCTTAATACTGGTGAGTGTTACTACCAATTTCCTATATTAGGTTATGGGCTAATACCAAACTTCAAAATGGATGTGTCGAAATTTCAAATTAATAAACTAGAAGGTGAAAATTGGATACATTGGAAGTATCGCATGTCAGCACTATTAAGGGGAATAGACGGTTTAACGGATGTAATAAATGGATCAATTAAAAAACCGGAAATGCCAGATAGTAGTGCTGGGGATTCAGCAGCTATGGCTAAGTACGAAGAGGACTTACGAAGCTACACTAAGTTGGATAGTATAGCTGTACTTGTAATTACAAATAATATTTCTGATAATATCCTGGATAAAATTCTAAGGTTAACGACCGCAAAGGAAATATGGGATGAATTGCATCGCCTATACGAAGGTGTATGTGAGGACCGCCTGTATGATTTGTGTTTAGAATTTTTCAGATATAAGAAAAATCCTGCTGATGACATAGCTTCACACATCTCGAAGTTGAAAAATCTGTGGTATAAGCTCAAGCAAGAATTAATGAAAGAAGAGGAAGGTAAGGATTTACCTGAAGTTCTATTAATTTGTAAAATCTTGGATACTTTACCTGAAACATATTTTTCATTCAAGTCAAGTTGGCTGTTAATGTCTAAGAAGGATAGGAATATAGAGAATATCACAAGTCAGCTGTGTGCGCATGAAAAGGCACTCGGTAACAATGTAGACAGTGAATCTAGTTGTGAGGCCTTTGCTGTCAAAGGAGTCAAGAAGAAACCTAGTAAGTGTGAAGACAAAGGTAGTAATAACAAGGACAGTAGCAAAAAGTTTAAATGCTTTGGTTGCAAAGAGGTTGGTCACCTTAAGAAAGACTGTCCTAAGAAAGTAGTTTCTCGAAAAGATTGCAGTAGTAAGGGAATTAACATGATGTTACTGACTGTGAATTCGGCTGAAAGTAGTATTGTAGATCGTGACCATTGGAATGTGGATAATGGGGCTACGAATCATGTTACAATGCGGAATGATATCTTTCAAGATTTCGAATACTTCAGTGAAGGTCACACTGTAACTACGGCGGACAAAAATGTGATCAAGGCAGTAGGCAAAGGATCAGTTTGTATTGAGGCCGATGTTAATGGACATACTGTGAGATCGACTTTGAGAGATGTTTGGTATGTTCCTCAGATAAGTAGAAATCTGTTTTCTGTATTATCGACGCAAGATAGGAATCCAGGTAGCGTGTTTGAATCACGGGTCACTACTTGTACTATGAAAATAGGAGGAATGATTACTGTGACAGGAAATAGGGAGAGGTATGGAGGATTATACAAGCTGAATTGTAGAGTCGTACCGCCTATTAATATGTCAGTAAATTTGGTACAGAAAGTTGATATATTGCAACTTTATCACGAACGTTTTGGTCATCAAAATAAAAGACATATAAGAAGTCTGATAGATAGAGAGTTGGGAATAAAAACAAAAGATAGTGAAGAATTATGCGAAGGTTGTATCTTTGGAAAATCTCACAGACAAAAGTTTGGTGTACGAGATAAAGCTACGAAACCTGGAGAACGCATACATTCGGATGTTTGCGGGCCCTTTCCATCTAGTTATTCCAAATTACGATATTTTGTACTTTTCAAAGACGAATATACACGTCATCGTTTTGTGTATTTTCTTCGGAATAAGTCGGAAGTACACGAGAAATTGAAACAGTTTCTAGTTGAAGCTAAAGTAGCTGGTCATGTTGTTAAGGAACTATTGAGTGACAATGGTGGTGAATTCGACAATGCACAAGTACGGAAAATATTGGTGGAAAATGGAATAAAGCAAAGACTGACGATGCCGTATACACCGGAACAAAACGGGAATAGCGAAAGAGATAACAGAACGATCGTGGAATGTGCTAGAGCTATGATGCATGCACATGAAAGGTTACCTGAAACTTTGTGGGCTGAATTGGTGAATACTGCTGTATATATTTTGAACAGGACAGGGCCAACGTCAGTGGAACACAAGTCACCCTCAGAACTTTGGACTGGTATAAAGCCAAGGATTAAACACATGAGGATTATTGGGTCATCATGTTATGCTCACGTGCCTAAACAGACTCGGAAAAAATTACATAAGAAAGCTATGAAATGTATTCTAATAGGGTATGATAATGATGATGGATATCGTCTCTGGAATGGTTCTACTGGTTTAGTAAGGTCAAGAGATGTGACATTTGATGATATGTCTCTGCTTAGAGGTGAATCACTGAAGGTGTGTGAACCCATGCAAGCAGAATTTTCTAGCAATGTAATTGAGTTGCAACCTTTAGCATTACAAGAGATAACTCAACAGAGGAATGATGAAAAATTACCTCATGTAGAATCTTCTGATGCTCAGAATATTGTAATTGATAATGATGAAGTTGAAGGTCTTGTAAATAATGATGAGTTCATTGATAGAGAAGACACTTCTGTTATTAATGAAGATATATTTGATGATGCAAGAAGTAATACGCTAGAACAAACAATTGAATGTGGGGGAGTATTAGAAGGAAATGACGAAGCCGAGCTTCACGAAACTATGGATGAACATGAGATTATAGAGGAAAGTAGTCGTATTCTTAGAGATAGGTCATCGCTTCGTCTACCACAGAAATTCAATGATTTTGTTCTATATAATATAAATGGAGAGAGCACTGGTAATCAACTGGAACCTAATAGCTACAAGGAAGCTGTGAGAAGTGCTGAAAGTAAACTTTGGAGAAAGGCAATGGATAAGGAAATTAATTCTTTGAAGGAAAATAAAACTTGGGTGTTGGTAGATCTCCCGAAAGGTCGGAAAGTCATACCCTGCAAGTGGGTTTTCAAGGTCAAATTAAATGCTGACGGGAATGTCGACAAATACAAGGCTAGGCTTGTTATTAAGGGATATAGTCAGAAGAAAGGCGTGGACTATTATCAAACATTCAGTCCTGTAGCAAGAATGGCGACCATTAGAAGTGTATTAGCTGTTGCCGCTAGTGAACAGATGCATATGGCGCAATTTGATGTATCCACTGCATTTCTGTATGGCGATCTTGATGAAGAAATCTACATGCGACAGCCGGAAGGTTATGAAGATAACTCTGGTAAAGTTTGTTTACTGAAGAAAAGTCTTTATGGTTTGAAGCAGGCACCTCGGTGCTGGAACAAGCGTATATTAGATTTTTTCAAGGAAATCGGTTTGAAAGTATCTGATGCTGATCCATGCCTTTTCACAAGAAAGGAGTCTAGCGAGAAGCTCATTGTGGCTCTTTATGTGGATGATGGTTTGGTAGCTGCGTCTAATCAGAAACTGATCGAAAATTTCCTAAAAGATTTAATGGGAAAATTTAAAATCACAACGAAGTCTGTATCCTACTTTCTCGGTATAGAGATAATAACCAGAGAAGACGGCATAAAAATTCATCAGAAGTGTTATGTGAACAAAGTTCTTCGACGGTTTGGGATGGACAGCTGCAGACCGGTGCATACACCAATTGTTAGAGACATGTCTCAAAACCGGGATAAGGTCGACATGAGTAATATGTTGTTGAATTATAGACATATTGTTGGAGCCTTAGCATATCTCATGGTTGGAACGAGACCTGACATTGCATTTGCTGTTAGTGTCGTCTCAAGAAATTTGGAAAATCCAACTGAAGATGATTGTGTAAAGCTGAAACGGATTCTGCGTTATTTACAACATACGCAAGATATGGGTATTTTGTATCAAAAGGACTATAAAAAGGGCATCATAGAGTGTTATAGTGATGCTGACCATGGAGGAGACGTTGGTACTGGAAGGTCAACTTCTGGAGTACTGTGCATGTTTGCTGGTGGTGCTGTATCTTGGATGAGTCAAAGACAAGCAAGTGTTGCAATTTCCCAGAGGGAGACTTTGTACAAAAGTCGATTGCTTGGGTACCTCTGTCCCATTCGTGTTTCAACCGTGAAGCAGTTGTGTTTGCATGACTGTGTTTCGGTTTGAAGGGTGGGATATGGCGTGAATTTACAGGGTACAGAGGAATAACACCTGAGTCCTCAGGAATGGCAACGCATGGGGGGTATCATGGGTGAAACAGTATAGTCTGCTATGTCCATGGTACTGCTCATGTCTATAGGCGACGGTTACCACTTTCCATCAGGTGGGCCGTCAGCTTGTTTGTCATTCTAAGTTGCATAAAAAAAAAAAAAAAAAAAAAAAAAAAAAAAAAAAAAAAAATTTCAACCACTGAAGCAGAAATTGTTGCAGCCAGTGAAGCAGCTCGAGAATGCATTTGGCTAACTAGGATACTAAGCGAACTTACTGAAATACAGTGTCCTCCTGTATTACAAGTGGACAATGAAGCCGCGGTGAGACTAGCGGAAAATCCTGAGTTTCACAAGAGAACAAAACATATTCTCATCAGGCACTTCTTTGTTCGAGAACTTGTGACAAAAGGTGATCTCATGGTTCAGAAAATTAGCAGTGAGTGGCAGCTTGCCGATATTTTTACCAAAGCTTTACCAAAGCCAAGGTTAGAGAAGATTAGTAAGCTGCTAGGATTACACATCGAGAGAAGATGTTAAGAACCTCCTTGGTTCAATGGCAGGCGATATGCATTCTAGCAGCGCTTGTCAATGTAAAATAAAGAAAAATAATATTTGAATAAATATGACAGATTACCCTTTTGTCTTATATACTATGAACATTGACTGAACTTTCTAACTGACTAATATTAACTAGTGTAGGTAACCAAAATCCTAGTCCTGGTTTTCCTTAACATTGATCCTGATCCCGGCGTTGCTTAATACTGGTGAGTGTTACTACCAATTTCCTATATTAACTTACACTCATATTTAATAGATGGAATGTTATAATCATCTTCAGTAAAGTCTCCTGATTCTTCATCCATTTTAATATATATTGTGATATAAATAAAAACAAGGTATAATAGTTAATACACCTTATCACATTTATTTATAATATTACTTAGAACTGAAATAATTGATTACACAAAATTTAAATATGATTCACAACAAAATTCACAAATGAAAATTTTCTGACTTTGTCAATGTCATCAGCCGTCAAGCTGTCATTTCCAATAGTAGAAGGAGAATACCACAGATACTGATTATCCTTAATTTATAAATTCCAACTCATTCAATATCTATGCTAGAAGAAATTATAACAGTTTTTGCTGTAAAGAAACTGTACCTAATAAATCTCAATAATAAAATGATACTTACTTACGATTAATGTTTTATACGAGTATATACTGTCACAATAAGCTAGCTGGACTATTTTGGTGTTCATTTATAATCTTTCACTGGTGCCCTACCAATCAAGTATATCAGGGTTATTGCTAGCAATAAACTTATTATACTTTATTACTAACAATTTCTCCCTCCACTCCTGAATGATAAATATGAAATGATAATATAAAAAATAACCTCATCTGCACTATTAATCTATGTTGGCGAGGTACCATGATGAGGCTAAGTGAGAATGAAGTCTTGTCACCCGGAACCACTTATCACTGGTCGAAGTTGGTCTGGCAGGGTTTATTTCTAACAAATGAGCTACTATTTTTTTTTATACAACTTAGAATGGCAAACTAGCAGACGGCCCACCTGATGGAAAGTGATAACCGTCGCCTATAGACATGAGCAGTACCATGGACATAACAGAGTATACTGTTTCGCCTATGATACCCCTCATGCGTTGTTATTCCTCTGTACCCAGTAAATTCACGCCATATCCCACCCTTCAAACCGAAACACAGCCATGCAAACACAACTGCTTCACGGTTGAAACACGAATGAGACAGAGGTACCCAAGCAATCGACTTTTGTACAAAGTCTCCCTATAGTATTATGGTACTAATCCACATTATTAATAATCCCCTCTCCCCCGGAGATTAACATTGTTGGTTTTGTATAACAAAGTATAACAACGTCGTTAATATCCGTTAACTTTAAGAAACAATTGAAGAATTCTCGAACATTTCCAACTAATTATTTAAAAAATACTCTCCCAATGAATTAAAATGTTAAAAAATAGAAAGAGTTACATATAAACCTATAATTAAAAATTATGTACCTATAGATTTAAATTTTTTTGATAAATTATTTTTCTATGATAGTTCAAATTTTCAATGATAGCTTAATAACTTACTTCGAAAGCAGAACACTTTTTATTTGCAACGTTGTCACATTTCGTTGAGCTAAAGTTATGAGCGCTCTTATTTCATTTCAGCCATTATCCATCCACTGCTGTACATAAACCCACCCCCATAGACTGCTATAAGGAACGGTCCTGAGCTACTTGCATCCATTGACTCCCTGCAATGCATTTTAGGTCGTCACTCCATCTATTGAGGGGGTCGCCACACCAGAATCTTTCTTTCTTATCAGTTGTCGGTTTTCCAAACCATTGCCACTTCAGCTTGCTTATTCTTTGGGCTATGTCGATTGTCGGTGCTTTTACGGATATTCTCGTTTCGAATTCTATCATGCAAAGAGACTCCGAGCATAGCTCTCTCCATAGCCTGCTAAATAATTAGAAATTTTTGTATACGGGCAATTGTATAGGACCATGTTTTGGTTCCAAAAGTCATCACTAGCAACATGCACTGGTTAAAGACCTTTGTCTTCAAACTCTAAGGTATTTTGGATGAAAAGATGTGGCGTAGTTTTCCAAACGTTGCCCAGCCGAGTGGGTTTTGTCGGTTGATCTCTCAATCGAAATTATTTTTTTTATTTTAATGGATGATAATGGAATGATATACCCGCGCTATCGGTATACACCGGCGGGGCACCAGTGAGGGATGATAGGTGAGGATGAAGTAGGTCAGTTAGCCCATCGTGACGAATTCAACAAGAATTGTTCACGATGGTTTCCAGGGAGAACCACGTGGAGGTCGACCTAATAGGGCATATTGCTAGCAATGGGACTATCAAACTCCATTGCTAATAATCCCTTTCCCCCCTCTCAATCGAAGTTGGACTTACCCATTCGGACAACTTGTCCCAGGTATACATATCCATCGACAACTTCGAGCGTAGTATTTTCAATCATAACCGGTATAGGTGTGACATGGACGTTAGATGTTATGATTTTAGTCTTGTCCATATTCATCTTAAGACCTACCTGTTGAGAAATACCATTGAGGTCATTGAGCATGGCATTAAGATCCTCAAGAGATTCCGCCATGTTTACTATTTTATCGACAAATTAAAGGTGAATGATGAATTCGCCATTGACGTTTATACCGTATCTTTTTTCCAACCCAAGAGTTTGAAAATATCTTCCAATGCAGCTGTAAAAAGTTTCGAGGACATGACATCACCATGTCTTATACCTTTCTGCACTGGAATGGGTTTCGTACGTTTCGTTTTCCCTGGTTCTGTACTCGGATAGACATTATAGCCGTATTGTACATACACTTCAACACTTCCATATATCTATCTACAGTAAATCTGGTACCGCTTGAGGAACTGTAGTACCCCCAATTCCTCGACCGAATCAAAGGCTTTCTCATAGTGCAGACATAGTGGCAGATTATACACTACAGTTGTGTATAATTTGCCGTAGTGTATGTATGTGATCTATGGTGCTATAGCCCTTTCGGAAACAGATTGTTCTGGGGGCTGAAAGTCGTCGAGTTTGTGTGTAAGACGATTGGTCAGGACTCTCTAAGATGGAGCGCTCTTATTTATTTACTTATTTTAGATAAAAAAAAAATCTTATTAATGTAATCAACTACATAGGGCAGACAAAGAAAAGGTCTGGAATAGTTGCACCGACAAAAAGAAACTGTTAAATGAAAAGAGAGAATGTAATCATGTACCGTAACTTCGTCCCTGCATTTGTATCAGTGTATGTAGATGCGTGAGTTTTGGCATACTTATAATCTCTCATACTTAGTCTACTTTATATTATGTCTATGGTCTAAAGCACCATACTCACAAACCGTTCTATTCTATCTTTGCCTTTCTTTCACATTTTTTTTTTCCTTTAGTCTCTTTAGTCTGTGCTGCAAACTATTAATGTCAATATATGAAAAAAAAATTTTTGATTTCATTTGTAATTGTTCGATTATTTTGATCTTCATTCATTTTTTACAACATAATATTTTAACGGCACCTAAAGCATTATTTTATATAATTTCTTCTATTATTATTGGTGAAAATACTGAAGATGGATCCAATAGCAATTTTACAAAGCAGGATAGAACAGTTGGAAGCGAAATTAGGTTTGACTCCGAATGCAGATTTAGACGGCCAACAAGGAGATTCGGCTACAACAAACTTGTTAAATGCAGCTCAAGCCATTAACAGTGCGACTGCTGGTCATGAGAAGTTAACAGAAGCTATGCAAATTGCTACAGAGTTGAATAATTATACTGATCCGAATTTCGTAGAAAACGTAAGTATACTTGCATTTTTTTTTAATATGATCATAACTAAAAATTTTTTAAAAGTACTTCTGGACTGATATGACTTCATAACTTTCAAGAAAAAAGCATATACCTTTTTAAAATGCCCGTAGCACATCTGCAGTACCTCTGGTTTTGCGAATGCTCATTGCTCATGGGCGGCGGTAGTCATCATCATGTGAGCTGCACGCTCGTTTACCTCCTGTGTTATAAAAAAAATTGTAATCATTAAATGATAGTTTTCCGTATGCAACTGGTACCAAAACACACCTCAATAAATTAAACATTATACAAAATAGGACTTTAAGAATATGTGGCAGCTTCATTAAGAGCACTCCCATTCATGTAATAGATCCCAAACTTGCTCTCCCTCTCCTGTTTGTATGTAGGCATTGACTGGGGAACAAATTTTGGCTGCGTGACTTCTGTCTTTGATAACCAAATCATGCAATTGGTAGTGAACTTATCATCAAATAACTGTAACTATTGGTATAATAAAATAAAGTCCATCTTGATGTACATAGTAGCCTAAAAGAGGAGAATATACACAAGAGCCTTTTACTTGATATGTATAGTTTAAATAGCTGGGTTACATCCATTGATGTGAAGTTCTGTATGTGTTTAGATGTAAAAGATGTTAACAACACAAAACATAATATTATTGGTTCTGTTTTAAAGTATCTCACTATATATATGTTGAAGTGAGGCTATAAAGAATTTCATAAAATACATACAGATGGATTAAAAGATTCTCAAGGTGTAGGGGTGACACTGTTTGACTCGAAGTTTAGAAAAGCTGTTATGTGGAATCTTGATAAAAAAAAATTCTAAGGGAGCTAAGCAGTTACCAAATTATACATATTTTAATAAAATAAAAGTCTTTTTACATTTGCTGGTGGAATATGGTCCAAATTACAACCTGAAACAGTGAATTCTGAGGGTTATGTCTTTATATAATGGTAACATCAATATATATTTGGTTAACTGGCAGTCGCAATGCCAAATCCCTATATCTGTGAGTAAAGGTATTACTGATAAATTGATAAACCTAATATTCAGACATTCCCTATGAGGCTGGTAGTCACCCAGGTCTACTGTAGCCACAACAAAAATTATAATTAAATAAAAAATGACATTAAATGTTTAACATTCAAGGTTCATAAGGATCTTTAAACTTATATTTACACTTAAGAATATTGTAATATTATTTACTCTATTTATTGCAGATTCAACAAAACAACATCCATATGCAAGAAGTATCTGCTGCAGAACCTATTTTGAGACACCACTGCCAATGCATGCATAGATGCAAACAAGTATGTCATTTATTACATAAAATATATATTTTTTATACAACTATTTATAACAAATTTTTATTTTTAGATGGGTAGAGAATAGACTGCACTTTCATATAGTGATATACCAGTGATCTAAATGTCTCTCCTACAAAAATATCGAACATGATTGAGAAATTGTTGGGTTTCTTTTATTATTCATAATCATTATTTTATCAAATAGGGTACACAAGACTTCATGCAATAAAATAACACCAATGTTAACACCTCAAGTGTTTAAGTAATATAATCATTCCATCCTAAATATATTTAGCAATTTAAAAATATCCAAAAATGACATCTGCATAGGGTTGCCATTCTTTGCAGATTACTTAGATATCTGACTTATATATTATGACTTAGATTTGTTAATTTTTTTATAGACAAAAAAATATTTGATAATATTTGCTATTAGGAATTTATTATTTTTAGTATAGACATTGTTTTTCTTTAGGCAGCACCAGTACTAGAGTCAGAAGCTATTCAGCAAGTCCCTCAGATGCAGAAAGTGGTTGATAAAATGCATGCTGCAGCGGCCGAGGTTAAAGCTGAAGCAGATTCGGTATAACTTTTTAATTTTTGTATAATTTATAATAAAACCTGGAATGACAAACCAGCTGACAGTCCACATGATGGAAAGTAATAACAATTCTCTAGAACCATGTTCAAAAACTAATATTTTAATGAGGCTATTATTTTATGGTTCATTAAGTACATATTAAACTAAATCTTACTATTCTATACTTATAATAAATCTGTAGAGAGGTCAATTCTGTACATGAAATATATTTCCAAAATAATTATAAGGGGGTGATTAGTGATCGATACTGATGGCAAAAATGCAATTAGTAAAATTTTTGTTTGTATATTCATTATAGAAACAAAAACTACTCTATGGATTTTAACGAAACTTGGTAAAATTATTCTTTAGTAAATAATAATTCATAGAAATGTCAAACCTCTGATAAATTTATTTTAAGGATTGAACTGTTTTGTCTCTATCTTTTATGCTAAATTCATAATTAAAAAAAGTGACAAAACAGTTAAAATAGGTTTGTGTTTTAGTTTTTATGAGTAAAAGGCTAAAATTATAACTGAAAAATATCTGTACATGAGAAATATTTTAGATGAATTGAAATGAGGGTTCTTTTAGGAGCTAAAACTTTTAGAAATTTTATATGTGTGTTCCAGCATCACATAAAATCTACTATACCAAATTGAATGCAATTTACATAGTAGTGTTTCTGAAGGTGGACTTAAAATTTGGTATAAAACATATATCAAATATTGACCATATACTTGATATCTAAAAGTAGTCTATTTCATTGGTTTTTCTACTCGTGAAATCCATGCATACAAAGTAGCAGGAAAAAACCTCCATCTATTAGAAATTTAGTTCATACTGGTTTTTAGGATAAAGATTTTGTTGTGTTATGAAATTAAAACTTTAATTGGATATAGAGAATGGTGCTACAGAAGCGACCCCATTACAACCTACCTTAGTTATATGACATTATATTATATACGTGCAGACTAGAAGCATGAATAGGAATAATAGAATATGCTTTGTTTTGCCAAAGGTTGACTGAGAGAGAATGCTATATAGTATTAAGTCCGCCTTGTGTACCAGACATTTTTTTTTTGTAATGTGGTCAATAAAACATAAATAAATAAATATGATTGGAGATAACTACTTTTGATACCATAAGAATACTAAACTTGTAACATAAATTTATTTAATACCCATTGCATATCTCATAAAATAAGTTTGAGATATTTCAATATCTGTGCAGCAACTGTTATCATTAAAAAGATGAAATGTGGCCACTAAAATTTTATTTTTATTTATTTCTTAAACTGGACAATCAGACATAATTATTAAATTTATTTTTATGACTGGGAAATCTTGGATCTAGTTATAATAAAAACTGCCTTTTCTGATGGCTGTGACATATAATGTGCCTATTTCTTGAATAAAATATAAATATAAGCCATAAAAAAATCCATCAATAAATAAAATGGAAGACTTTACAAGAAAAAATCTAATTAGAAAATGTTCCACATATTACATTGTTCCAGGTATCGTTGGGAGTGCAACAATTAGCAGAAACATGTGGTGCAGCTGCATCTAATGCTTCCGAGCAACTTACAAATGTGGCACAGAAAGTGGAACAAGTTGAGCAAAAGATGTTTCCCAAAAGGAGAAATGGACTTGACTAAGTATATATGAGTCTTGTCCTTTTTGGTGCTTCATTTAATTTCGTTGTGATTTAATTATTATTATTACAGCTTTACTAAATTATTTTGTATTATTAAAAAATTAAATAGTATATTATGTACTTATTTAATCTATATTTTTTATAAATCTATAACCTAATATATGTCGTCCGGGGAGGGGGGGATTGTTATTAATGCGGACTTCCAGACCCATTGCTAGCAATATATCTCGTCAGGTCGACCTCCATGTGGTCCCCCCTGGAAACCACCTGCTGAATTCCAGTTGTGTTTATAGCTATTTTATAAGCTAATTGACCTGCTCTTTCATTTTCACTTATCACCCCTCACTGGTTCCCCGCCAGCGTTTTGTAATATCTTTATTAACAATCGAGATGTAACTTATCAAATTATGTAAAAAAAATCATCCAACATTTAAATGTCGTGTGGTCTTGTTATAGAATGGAGCACTCGTTCCTTTCCCATGGATGGACGATTAAGGGAACTAAATAGTCGAGGATGAACAGCAACATCCCTCTTGAAACATCACCAAAACCGAACTGTGGTTGCCAACACGTTTTCTAAGTGTGGCAACTACTAGCAAACGCGCCTTATGGGGAAGGCCTATATTTAACAGTGGACAGTTAAAAACTAATATCATAATGATAATAATGTTATTTTCAGCCTAGTTATATAGATAATATATATATATTTAATTTAATGATAAAAAAATACACATCAGTCATTTCATTGTTTGGTTTATAAAAATACAGAATAATCTATAAAAATGTACTTCGATAGTTTTCATCCGCAGGCTGATTACTTATAAATAAAATTAGCAAACATTGTAGAATCGCTTCGTGACCACTTGCTAATTGTCAAATAAATTGTATTATGTACCACGATTGCTTTTCTCTAATAAATAGCGCTACTGGAGGTGAAAAAGCACTGCCGAGTTAGGACCAACTTTTATTGCTTATTAATTATTTTTATATAATACAAATTAGATCAAAAATGAAGACTGACAAGAATTATCAACCTACAAGTACAAGACTTACAAGCGAATCTGTAAAACAAAATCTGAGATTGGCTAGAGTTATCTCGTTTTCAGATAGATCCTCTACAACCAGTATATATAGTTAGTGCACTCATCCACATATCACAGAGACGCCATCGACGACTGGAATAGCATCCACTGCCTTTGTCGCCAGCTATCCAAGTCCCAGTCCCTAATCCGACCTCTACTGGTAAGCGACGGGACGCCGAGTTACCGTGCGGAGATCCACACCAATCACTTCGAATGCTAGTTATACCCTATCCCGACTGCGGACGCCGAATGCGAAAGCCCACGGCAGCGATAATGTCCCGAATACGGCATTGCACCATCTGCCGCCACGCACTATAGTGGCAATGAGCTATAGGTACATTTACATGATTTTTTTATGATGAGCCAACTGTCTTGCTTTCATCCTTACCTATCATCTCTCACTGATGCCCCGCCATTGTATACCAATAGCGCTACGCAGTTGCGCTAAATACGCTATTTCAATAACATCCATTTAAAAAAAACTACCTTTTTATTTTTATCTATCATCCCTCTCTGGTCTCCCGCCCACGTATACCATTAGTGATGGCGGATTACCACTATATTATCATCCATTAATAAAAATATCTATGTACATTGGTTTCTTTATTATCAACCGATTTAAAAAAGAAGAGGTTAAATTTGGTTGTATTTATTTTATATTTGTTATCTCATAACCCCGTCAAAAAATTGGTTCTATAGAAATTTCATCAAAATCAGTCTAATAATTTAGTTTTGAAATCAAAGTAACTAGTTTGGCCATAATTAAATTTGGATTTTGTGGAATATAATTAAGAATTATTTACTGACAAGTTATGAGGCAAACGAGAAGGGGGTATAGATGTTAGGGTTTAGGCTAAATAGCAATAAAAAAAAATTAGGCGACTTGGGGTCCAATTTTTGGCAAATCTTGGACCATTTTGTCTGGTAACACTAATATTAGTATTGCCAAGAATCAACATTTTGAACTATAAAGAAGATGTTCAAAAAGATTTTCTATCCAGAGCCGTAAAACATACATAAAAAAAAAAAACTAAGTATTCAAATCCTAAGAACAATGAATTGTATAGAAGGAATGATAAAATAGAAATTGTAAATCATATGGTTGCCTCATAATTAGTAAAAAGAGAATGAAAGATACACCTTCAGTTACTACTTTTGTCAATTCATAGTAGGCTAGTATAATGCCAATTTACAATTGAACCATGCTGGCAATCACAATGCTAACTGTTACCTTTACAAATATTGATGGATCAATACAATTGTAGTCTAATATTTTTTTATTTATACTTATATTTTACTAATATGGTGGAAAGGTATTTGTGGTTCCACTGAGTTAAGCAAAGTAGATTCGTATTCTATCATTCGTATTTATTTTATATCAGGCTACAACTGAAAAGCATTCTTTTGTTCTATGATTGTAGCAAACATTCAATTTTTTATTTTAATTTTGAGATTGAGACATTATGTGATGAACTTGATTGATGTTTATTATTTTTAAATCTAAGTATTTATTATATATTATACACATGAAATTACATAAATTGTGAAAATGATATGGATAATTCAAGTTTAAAACAGGAACCTTTAGTGGACCAAATTTAATAAGACCAAATATTTAAAACATCGGAATCGCTGCAATAGAGTGTGTAGGAATGCACATGCACAACAACGCTACATTCATGACTCTATCGCAGAGCGAGATCCCGGCAAAGTCTGGAAGTTTCTTAGGACATTAGGATCCAGTAATACCCAACAGAATAGCATATATGTTAACTTAGATGTTAACTTTCTTAACCTGCATTTTTCAACATCTCCTGTAGTTGATGTTAATAATAAAACTAAAACATTATCACATCGCTGCAATAGAGTGTGTAGGGATGCACATGCACGACAACGCTACATTCATACTCTATCGCAAAGCGAGATCCCGGCAAAGTCTGGGAGTTTCTTCATAACTTTCTTAACCTGCATTTAATAAAACTAAAACATTAACATCTTTCCTTGCTTCTGACTCCTAATTATTCGCCATTTGTTTTCAATCAATTTACAAAGTGTGACGTTAAGAGGAGCATTATTTCTATAATATCTAATGCAGTAGGTACGGGTTGTATCTGTAAGATGAACGTACCTAGTTTAAATATGTATAAAAGGAACGCATCTCAATTGACAGATGACATTAGTTGACATGTATGTACTAGCGGATTTTCCGGTTGTTTTCCCACCTTTGTTCACTCTCTTGAAGTTAATAAATATGTTTGCAATTAAATAAGTTTTATTTAAATATAACAGTATCAGTAGTAACATGATTATCCCGATTCTTGATGAGATATTATCTGTAATTTGCTTAATCCTGAACCGCTCTATTGAAACATATGTTTTCCCAAAGTGTTGGAAAGACGCACAAATCATCCCTATTCCAAAAAAGAACAATCCTGTGTCTTTCTCCGACTTGCGACCTATCTCTATTCTACAATTCCTCTCTAAAGTGCTTGAACGCCTTATTCATACTCAACTGACAAATTTTCTTACCCAAAACAACCTATTAAATCCTTTTCAGTCTGGCTACCGACCCGGTCATAGCACAGTAACAGCACTAGTTAAGATTACTGATGATATTCGATCGGATATGGAACACGGCCAGCTGACCATCCTAACGCTCCTAGATTTTAGCAATGCATTCAATACCGTCGACTTTGACATCCTACTGGAACTGTTACGCTCTCTTAACGTATTCTCATCTGTTGTTGAGTGGTTTCGTGATTACTTGTGTGGACGCCGGCAGCTGGTTTAAAATAACGATGTGTCTTCATCGTGGTGCGATGCTTTTGCTGGCGTTCCGCTAGGTGGCGTCTTGTCTCCTCTCTTTTTTCAGTGCTTATAAATACAATATCAAATCAACTAGCTTCACTCTACCATCTATATGCAGACGACTTACAAATGTATACTCAGGCTCCTATATACGAATTGATCGATGCTATTGCATTTACAAACCAGGATCGCAAACATATAAGTAAATGGAGTAAAGCTTTTGGCCTAAAAGTAAATCCTACCAAATCTCAGGTAATACTAGTAGGTAGTCCCAAGCTAATCCAAAAGGTAGATTATTCGACGCTAGTACCTATAACTTTTGGTGAAGTGGTTATTCTCTTCAGGGCATCGGTAAAGGATCTAGGTGCAATTATTGATAGTTCTCTTACTTGACGGCCACAAATAGAAACTGTCAGCAGGAAAGTTTTCGGATCAGTATGCTCACTTCGTAGACTGCGTAATTTCCTTCCTACTGCTGCCAAAATTGCGCTATCCCAATCTCTTTTACTTCCAATTCTTGATTATGCCGGTATTTGTTATCAACGCTCAAGTTTAAGCTGGTCTTCACGTGAGATCCGTCACGGAAAACCAGCTTAAACTCGAGCGTCTTCAAAACGTTTTTATCAGGTTTATTTTCGGTCTCAGAAAATATGATCATATTTCCCAGTTCCGCGCTAAGCTCAGGTAGCTTCCTATTCGTTTTCGCCAGAATACTCACATTCTTTCACTGCTCCACAATATCCTTTTCAACTCTTCTCCTCACTACCTGAAGATGCGGTTTGATTTTCTACACTCGGTCAATTCTTTTAATCTAAGGTCTTCTGAGGGCCTCCAGCTGAAGACTCCAGTACATTTTTCTAGTTTTTATGATAAATCGATTACGGTGCAAGCTGTACGACTATGGAATAGTTTACCAGTCTCTATACCAAGCATAAAATGTCTGCCTAGTTTTAAAACGAAACGTAAGGATTTTTATTTGAGCAAGTTGTCATCTTTTTAATTTGTATATTTGTCTGGTTAGCATACTTATTTCTTGAGATATCTAAAAGTTTTATAACTTAATGTTTTATGTATAGGTATATGTAAACAGTATGTATGTATGTATATATATATATATATATATATATATATATATATATATATATATATATATATATATATATATATATATATATATATATATATATATATATATATATATATATATATATATATATATATATATATATATATATATATATATATATCTCTATATTAAGAAATAATAGACTTTAATTGTGCCTCTGATCAAACTGTTTATAATTACTCCTCTCCATCCAAAGGTTGCCTAGAAGAGATCGCTTTTAATGATAAGGTCGCCCATTGTTTTCTCATTGTGATTATTTCTTGTAATTGTTTATATTTATAATAAATTTACTATTGTAATCTTTTGGATCAATGTTGTAGAGACACTACAATAAACCACAAGCACTGTAATGTGCTGAGCTTCAGCAGTAACCTCTAGTAAGTATAACGATAACTAATAAATGCCAATTGTAGTGATTGTACCCATTAAAATGTCTAAACAGCTCACATCTCATCAAATGTATGTGTAAATATTGTTTAAATAAAGATTTATTTATATTTTATATTGGTAAAAATGTCTAAATATAAATTTATTATACTAAATCCGAAAAGTTTGATCGATAATTATCAATGGCTCTAGCTCTTACGTTGGTCTCTTTTTGAAATGTCAAATCACTAACTAGATGTGGGTTAAAACATGACAAACATATTATATGGCCGTATAACTCTACCACATTGGGGGAAAAGGGATTGTTCGCAATTGAGTTTGACAGCCCCATTGCTAGTAATATGCCTTATTAGGTCGACCTTTACATGGTTCCCCCTGGAAACCATCGTAAACAATTCTTGATGAATTCGCCACGATGGGCTAACTGACCTGCTTTATCTCACCTAACATCCTTCACTGGTGCCCCACCGGTGTATACCGATAGCGCGGGTGGGGTTACCATTCCATTTTCACCCATAAAAAAAAAACTACTATATTCAAATACAACCTGCTTGCATACTTTTGACATAAACTGTATTGAAAATATAATCTACTAATATAAAATTGGTTATGGACAAATAATTGACATATCAAACATTTTCTATACACTAGCCTGCTATGAATTGTCAAAAATAGCAACTGATGGTATATCTTTCATCCACTTTTTACTAATTATTTTTGTAAAAAAGAAGAAAGAAAGCAACCATTGATTTACAATTTTTATTTTCTCATTCCTTCTATGTATTTCTTTGTTCTTAGCTATAAATTGACAAAAATAGCATGATGGTGTATCTTTTATCCTCTTTTTACTAATTATATTTGCATAAGAAGAAAGGAGACAACCATATGATTCACAGTTTTTTTTATCGTTCGTCATTCCTTCTATGTAATTCCTTGTCTTTAGCAGATTCCTCTATAAGAGTTTCCTATCTGTCACATTTAGTCTCTCTAATGTGTACTCTAATCTGTGATATCAAAATGGCTGATATTTCTGTTGAAACCGCTCCTGGAGATGAAAATGATGATAATTGGTTATATGGCGACTCCAACCCTGATCAACCAGAGCAGAATGAATCTACAAATGCTGAAGAAAATCCTCCACAACAGACGGAGATCATAGTACGTGTTCTTAGCTATTTATGTCAACATAACCTATACGTTTGATTTGTTGTATTAATTATTTTTGTTTAACTTTTGTTTACTATGTAGGAAGGTGAAGAAAAAGATCAAGACGATAATGAAGGAAATAACGACGACTCACATTTTAATGATGAACATTTTGCGGATGTGGGGCGCGAAGATCAGGAGCAGGAGAATGGAGACGCAGACAGCCAGGATAATGGAGACTCGGATTCAGACGACAGCGATGATGTTAAAGTCACTATCGGAGAGATCAAACCGGGACCGCAGTCCTATGCCAGCTTAAATATAAAGGTAACTGAATTTAAGATGTGTGGGTACAATTTAAAAGTTTTTTTTTGTTATATTTTGTAAAATTCTACGACGTTTATAAAGATATTAAAATTATAATAAGCATCTGACACAATACATCTGACTGAATAAGTGAATGTAGTTTAAATTTTATACTTGTATTATAGATATTATGGTGGGTGGGTGTAGTGGTATGATGGGGCAATTTGTTTGCGAGCTTGTTTTCTGAAAATATAGCTTCATCTCTTTTGTATCCTGTGATGTCCTGGTATAAATATATTGTGTTCTTCATTACCACATGGAATCCAATTTAATCACTATTAATTAATTTCTTTGAACCATATTTTAGCTCTTAACTAAAATATAATTTTAAAAGGAACATCCATTTGTGCTATTAAAAATCATCTACTTAGGGAAATCTATAACCCTCTTTCTGCCTTCAAAAAGCAGTGTTTGTGAGACTGGTTTCCATGATGGCAATAAAATTACAGAATAAGGGACATATAAGAATAAATAATAAGCTTCTGTAATGGTGACTCATTAGTACCCCCATTGTGTTCTGTGTCTACAGTGTATTCTGAGATGTCCATGCAGCAGTTTATGTCTATTGGTTATTATTACTTTTCGTCAGGGGGCCTATCAGGTGTAAACAACATTTCAAGTTGCAAAATAATTAACTTTATTTTATATAATCATAGTAATCTTTGTACTGTTTTATTAAGATCATTATTCTCTTCTATGATTTGTTGCAGAAATATGGAACCCAACTTTTATCCTGTTATTATACATTTTCATTAAAATGATTTTTTTATTGTAGGCAATATAAAACATCTATACTTACTAAATATCACTTTTCTGTAAAATTGTCAGGATTATTTGAACCTCTTCAAAACATTTTACAAAAATATAATATATTTTTATAGTTTTACAGTTAGAAATACACAGATAATAGTATACTAATACAGATAGATCACTTCATACAAAAACTAGGAAAGCCTTAACTCAGGTTTTTCTGTAGGCAATTTTTTTTACTATGTGTGTGTGTGTGTGAGATGCTGCTATGTATTCAGTTACTCAGTTTTTAAGACTAATAAATTAATCTACTCATCTTACTAGTATACTGAGCAACCAATATCAATATAGTATACAGTCAAAAAGTACAAGATCACAATTTAGTACAAAATATTACCACCAGAGGAGTAGTAATTGATATGATTCTCTAAAGTAGAAATATATTTCGAACACATATTGTTTCCCTGCCAAACTTTTAATCCAATATAAATTTTTAAATTGATGTTTAATGCCATTTGTTAAAAAAATTTTTTATTCTAGTTTGTTTCTCATCGTGACACAGAACAGCAATAAAACAATATTTTTACCATTTAAGGATAATTAAATATCAACATTATGAAGTTCAGTGGGAGTAGAATCATTAAATTCATAGAAAGTCAAGTATTACATAATCTTTAACTAATAAATTACTTTTAGTTTTCAACTTGTATTCAGTATGGTTAGACAAGCAGAAATTAGTCAATGCATACTTTTCCCTTGTAGATTAGTCATATTGTGCAATTCTCTTTATTTGTCTATTTGTTGCTGTATCTGTCATAATAAGCCTGTTAGGATGTATAAAATAAAAATTATATTTTTGTGTATTTATTGTTAAACAAAAATTGCAGCGTGGTGTGGGTCTCGTGGCCGCTGGTACTGCTGAGAAAACACGTCCTATTACTACTACTGGTGGCAAAGTGACCCTGGATGATTTAGATGGGCCAGGCAGTATAAATGGGGTACCCGCATTAGAGTTCAACATAGACACAATCGAGGACAAGCCATGGAATAAACCTGGTGCTGATATTTCAGGTAAGCTGTTACATTTTATATTTTCTAGTTCACTCACTCAGTATAAATACAATTTTTTTATGCAATTCATAACAGCAAACAAGCTGATGGCCCACCTGATGGAAAGTGATAATCGTCGCCTATAGACATGAGCAGTATCATAGATATAACAGAGTATACTGTTTCACTCATGATGCCCCCCATGTGTTGCTATTCATGAGGACTCGGGTGTTATTCCTTTTTTTTATTTTTTTTTTTTTTTTTTTTTTTTTTTTTTATGCAACTTAGAATGACAAACAAGCTGACGGCCCACCTGATGGAAAGTGGTAACCGTCGCCTATAGACATGAGCAGTACCATGGACATAGCAGACTATACTGTTTCACCCATGATACCCTTAGTTTTTTATGAATGAATCTGATATATAAAATGAACATATGGTTGCCATTCCTGAGGACTCAGGTGTTATTCCTCTGTACCCTGTAAATTCACGCCATATCCCACCCTTCAAACCGAAACACAGTCATGCAAACACAACTGCTTCACGGTTGAAACACGAATGGGACAGAGGTGCCCAAGCAATCGACTTTTGTACAAAGTCTCCCTCTGGTAAATTCCTGTGTACCCTGTAAATTCACTGCCATATCTTACCCTCCAAACCAAAACACAGCTATGCAAACATAAATTCTACATGATAGAAACATGAATGGGATAGATTTGCCCAAGCAAATGACTTTTGTACAAAGTCTCCTTTTGGTAACATATGCACAAAATATTGTTCCTTTACCTTTTCACATATGCATTTTCTTATACCCACATATTATTCAACTATAAAGCATCTAAATTGTGTTTATTTATCTTATTTCATTGGATTACTTTCGACAATTGAAAAAGAAATTTTTTTTTAATACTTAAATAATGAAATTAGAACACTATTGTTTGTAACCTGTTTCATGTTCAAGTTTTGAAAACAGTGTGGTTAATTTTAATGGACTGAATTATTGAACTCTATTAATTTACTAGTTAATTTCTATCCAGATTATTTCTAGACTGATTTATTCTTATGGTCCTACCTTAGTTTTTTATAAATGAATCTGAATATAAAATGAACATATGTTTTTATTAGATTGATAAACAAAAAGTTGTATTTCAGATTATTTTAATTATGGATTTAATGAGGTGACATGGAGTGCGTACTGTGAGCGGCAACGGCGAATGCGATGTAACGAAGCTGGCGTAGGTCTTCATGCGGCGCCATCTGGACCACGAATGTCAGCACCAGACCTTAGACGACCTGCTGGTTAGTTATAATTGTCAGCATTTAAATTATTGCGGATCAGAAGGAGGTTTTGTTCGTCTGCTCCACTCATGTTTTTTGCCCTGAAGCACCTATACTTGCATGGATAGATTTCAGTTTAAATAGTGGAATATAACACCAAAATTACAGGGTAGGGAGACATAACACCATAGTCCCAGGAATGGCAACACATGAGGCTTAACATGGTATCATACAGTATTCTGTGTTGTCCATGGTGCTGTTCGTACCTATAGGCAATGGTTGCCACTTTCTGTCAAGTAGGCTTTATATAGATTTTTTCATTGCACTAAAGATAGAACGAACAATGCATCGCATGACTTACCTGTTTTATTGGATACTTCACTACACCTTGTCGGTATAAAAGATTATTATTGTATAATACAGTTTGAGCCATGTGGTCCGGGCATAGAATGGACCATTCATTCCTTTTTCGTGGGTGTTGTAAACGACTAAGGGAACTTAATGGTCAAAGGATGGACAGCTGTGCCCTCTTAAAACATCACCGAAAGCTAAACTGCGCTTACCAACCCGTTTGTCAAGCGTGGCAACTATGGGCAAAACCCCCTTTATGGGAAAGTCTTGTGTTTAGCAATGGATAATTAATGGCTGATATGATGATGATGTGTATCATTTAAAGATACCCTACTAAGTAGTATAAAACATGTTTTTACCGAGTTTTATAATATTTATCAAACCTATTATAAAATTCAGTAAAAATATTTCATCGAAATCGAAATAGTACGGAAAAATATATCTAATTGAAGGCATTGGTGTCTAAGATACAGACCTAGTTTGGACACTAATATACTGCACATATATCTATTATATAGGGAGAGGGAGGTACCTCTGTCCCATTCGTGTTTCAACCGTGAAGCAGTTGTGTTTGCATGGCTGTGTTTCAGTTTGAAGGGTGGGATATGGCGTGAATTTACTGGGTACAGAGGAATAACACTTGAGTCCTCAGGAATGGCAACGCATGGGGGGGTATCATGGGCGAAACAGTGTACTCTGTTGTGTCCGTGGTGCTGCTCATGTCTATAGGCGACGGTTACCACTTTCCATCAGGTGGGCCGTCTGCTTGTTTGCCATTCTATGTATAAAGGTATCATGGGCGAAACAGTGTACTCTGTTGTGTCCGTGGTGCTGCTCATGTCTATAGGCCATTCTATGTATAAAAAAAAATATATATTTTATAATATACAGATTTCTTTGCACAGTGTTTTTTTTTATTTCTCGATCTTCTGGCGTTGTTTAGGCAGACAATCTATACCTTTGTAATTACTGTAGCTCATAATGGTATATTTTTATATGCAGTAAATTTTTATTATTATCGTAATGATTATAAAAAAAGATAGAAACCTCCATAATTAAATATTTCAGGTAACATTAGAAATGACGAGGGCATGATGCCCCCTACTGCACCTAATAATTACCAAGCCAGAGAAAACACAATTCAGGTACTTATATCTATATGATAATTATAAATTTTGTGTGACTACAACTTATTATTTCTACTTGGAAATGCATATGCATGCAAATGCACTTCTGTGTCTTATTAATTGGATTAATAAAAGGACTTAAAATGTAAAAAACGTTTTAAGTCTTTTTATTAATCCAATTATTTTATTTTATTATTAATTTGCTTGCGTGAGTCAAAGTGAATAGTAAATTTGTTCTGTGTACAAAACATTCAAGTCCATTTAAAATTGATTAATTATCCTCTGAACAAATTTTAGTTACACATTTGTCATATTTTTTAAGGTTTTTTAAAGGGATGTTATATAGGGAAGGCTTGTTATGAGAATATCAAACATATTTTTATAATTTTAAGATAGTGTTTTAATTTGCAGTTGTAACTTTTCAACTGCGTACATATTTTATTTACTTTCACAAACAAAGAGTTAGATTTAAAAACACAATGATAACCCTGCCAACGCTATCGATGAATGTTGGCAGGGTACCAGTAACAAATCGCTGATAGCCTGTCAGCGTATACCTATAATGACGGATTAGCATAAGTGAGATCAGTTGACCCATCATGACAAATTTACAAGGCATAGTGATCAACCTGATAGAGATATATAATAAACAATCCTTTCTCCTAAAACAGATAAAACAGATGGTGCATTCTAAATGAACACTTATCACAATCTAAAGAACACTCCTACCAGTAGCCCAATAGATATTCTTGGCAACTGTACGTCCCGAATTGTTCGGGACATATATATAAAGGCGTTGGTCTACTATTCTATCACCTCCCTTGCAGGTGATGACGGCGGAGCGGCGCGAGTACGGTCGCGGCGGCGGTACACGTGACCTGCCGCCGCCGGAGTATTTCGGCGCGCCACCGCCCGACCACTACTACCCTCCACCGCACGCCGCACATCCGCCGCACGCACCCTACGAGGAGCCCTGGGGTATGTGTTCCCCAACTAAAATACATGTCGCAAAACATGTTCATATATACGACACTATTAGATAATTGAGTGATATTAAGATTGTGGCTCACATCACATTATATAATATTACACTAATTTGTTTGTATCGGAGGAAGAATAAATTATATTTAGTAATATTAAATAAATGCCTAATTTTTATTTCAGGAACTAAAATATCAAGATCGCGTATGTTATTAATCTATGATAGTAATATAGTACTACTTCTCTTTTCGTTAATAAATTTGATTAAACTAAATAAATATCTAAGCAGACCTTTGTTGAATTTTATCAGGTACTCAGTACCCATTTCCTAATTATTAATATTCTAAAATTACTCCTTTTATTTATAGGAATTGGCCATGTTAAAATAATGAGCAATAATAACAGTGATAGTGTGCATTGCATTGAACAGGGCACCCCGAGCAAGGCGGCTGGGCGCCCACGGAGATCAAGGAGTTGACGCCGGGCCCCATGGGCCCGCCGGCCATGGGGCCGCCGCTGGGGATGGCGCCGCACGCGCCGCACGCGCCGCCCACGCCGCACATGATGCCAGCGCCGCCTTTCGCGCCCCCCTACCGCCACCTGCCGCCGCATCCACACGAGCGCGACCGCGATCGGGAACGCGACCGCGACCGGGACCGGGACCGCGACCGTGATCGTGATAGAGAACGGATGCGGGAGCGCGACGACCGGGAGAGAAGGGATCGGGATAGACGTGGTGAAGATGTGAGCACTTTATATATATTAATCAATCATAAAAAAAGAAAATTGTACTGGTTTTGAAAATTAACAGATACTTCCACTGTTGCCACTTATCTGTATGTCAGTATGAACATTCTTAAAATGCGACATTTACTGATCACGGCCTATAGTTATACATAGGATGTCATTGTCAGTAAAATGTTCTCATGGTTGAATATACGATAAAAATCTCTATGAAGAAGTCGGAAATAGTAACTTGTTTAGCTATACACAAATACATAAAACAATATTGTTACAGGAGGACAGAGACCGTGAACGAGAACGTGACCGCTCCAGATCCATCAAACCAGACAGGATACGAGAAAAGTTAGTAGACAATACGCATTTGTCAATATATTTAGCACATCACACTAGGGTACTTGTGAGATAGATGGTAATATTGTACATATAAATGCTGAGAAATAACTTTAATACCACATAAAGTGTCTTTTTTTTTTAAAAAAAAAAAAAAGAACATCTATTCCATAAATCTAATTGTTTAGATTTTGTCTGGAACTACAATAATAATTTCAGTACATAATGTGCAGCAATTAAGTGCTTTACTATCCAAATTCTATTCTAAAGGATTTTCTTTTATAGGCTGCTAACTTTTTTTACATTTGATTGGTATTTTTGGTATATAAATTAGGGAAGTTGAATTTTTGTTTATAATTATTTAATACTTTTGTTCATGTTACATTATGATTAATTATTTCTGATTTTATTGTAGGAAACGCAAGTAAGTTTAATTTATAGATATATAACCTAGACAATCATTCAAATTAATATTTTAGCTAATACTTATAAAATATTTTTTTTTTTTTTTTTTTTTTTTTACAACACAGGGGGCAAACGAGCATGCGGCTCACCTGATGGTAAGTGACTACCGCCGCCCATGATCACCCACAACACCAGCGGCATTGCAGGTGTGCTGCCGGCCTTTTAAAAAGGAATATACTCTTTTCTTGAAGGTTATGTTGTCGTATCGGTTCGGAAATACTGCTGCTGGGAGTTATAAATTATATGCAAATGAATCGTCTGACACTTCAATCTCTCAGCTTTAAAGGCTGAGTGCAATCGCATAACGCCATAGAATGTTATGTTAATGTGTTATGTTATACAAATTATCATACAATATATCAAAAATACAATATACTAGACAAGCTAACGTAGTAATAGTCGTCTATATTTACCTCTTTTGGGGAGATTGGGAGATGGGGAGATGTTCTGAGGTCTACTGTATATTGGAATGTATAAACGAACGAGTAAAGGAAGGGAGGAAATCAAGATTTCTATCTGTCTTAGGTCATACCGTCGAGAAAGGTCGCGGTCCAGATCGCGGCGTCACAAGTCCCGGTCGCGGTCGCCGCGACAGCGCTCCCGGGAACGGGAGCGATCGCGCGAACGAGAACGCGACCGCTCTCGTGACCGCGAACGTAGCGTTAAGCCCAAGTCAAAAGAGAATAAGGAGAAAGAAGAAGAGAAGTAAAGTCCGATAGAGACTCCAACTATTCGCCTGCTTATTTTGTTAATCAAGAATGTGATTAGTTAACTATTGGCTTATTAGCCAATTTTATTTACATATTTGTAAATAAAATTTTCATGTTGCCTATCATGCAGTGACATGAAAATTTATTTTACACAATTTGTAAAACTAAATATACACCTCATTCCTTACAGAATTGTCTTTGTTTTTATTTCATACATATATAGATGAGTTGACAATTCGACGATTAATAATAATATAAAAAAAAAAAATGTTTAATTCACTTGAAATAAAGACCAGTTTATAATCGGACAATAAATTCGTTCGAATTTTCAATGTTTGTATTTAACTTTAGTATTTCATCATTATTTCCCGTGTGGTCCGCTTCCTTCCTTTCCCGTGGGTGTAGTAAGAGGCGACTACTGGCGAAACCACCTAAGGGAGCCTTATGTTCAGCAGTGGACAGTAATGGTTTGATATGATGATGAGTATGTATAGATATTTTAGTAGTATTATCTAGATGCTACAAACAGCAGTATGCGGATTATCGAAGTCTTCAACAACGTTAAAACAGTATTTTACTGAACCAAGTGATATTTTGCGAAAGTCCATATCATTAGCTCTTTTGCTCAATTCAAGGTGTCTTTTAGCTAATTAATGTGGTTATAATAGAATGTCGAATCACAGATAATAAAGAATTATGTTTTTTTTAAAGACAGGGAAGACGAGTCCGTAACAAGAAAACTGTAAAAAAAATTGACACTACAAATTTGATTACAAAACTTAAGATTCCGGGATAGAATAGATGGAATGCATAAATCACATAGTGTGTTGCTCGATGTATTTATGACATCGCCAATACGTTAGAGAGGGATAAACATAAAAATGCATCTGCATTTTAAAATAGTCCGTAGCAATCAATTCTTTTAGATATGTCAACTTCGTTTTAATGGCTATATAACCTAAATCCAGATCAACCTGCTTGCATACTTTTTACATAAAACGTGTTGAATATGTAATCTAGCAATGTCAAATTTGTTATTGACAAATAATTAACATATCAAAATGAACAAAATTTTACATACATATTTTCTATACACTACCCTGTTATGAATTGAGAAAAATAGCAACTGATGGTATATCTTTCGTCCTTTTTTTACTAATTATATTTGCATAAGAAGAAAGGAGGCAACCATATGAATTACAGTTTTTATTTTATATATTCCTTTAATGTAATTCCTTGTTCTTAGTACAAAACGAAATCGTTATCAAACACACGAGACCGGAAATGTCTCGTTCTGATTAACAATCTGTAGGAAATACGTATTGATCACTATTAATGAATTGTAAGAACAACCAGTTTACCTTACATGTATTTCAGTCGAGAATACTAGTTTCGGGATCATTTGTTATATATTTAAAGCATTTTCAATTAAAATATACGTAGTTATCTTTAATTATAGAAAAAAGCCTATCTTCCTATATTACATACCGCTGGGCAAACTACATGCTTATATTTACAAAATAACTAAAGTGCCTCCTTTGGCATGCTATCACTATCTTAGATTATAAAGTATATGTAAAGTACATTATATTGAGTCTACGATCAGTACTGGTCTTGGTATAGGAAGTCCGGTCACGCGGTGCTCAAAAATGCACAACTCTTTCAGAGTTCTCTAAAAATGTAAAAAAGTGCCGTTCTCTTCTTTCGTTCTGGCTCGTTCTAAAATCTAAAAATGTGATGAGATTGCCAATTTCCTAAAAACATTCAATTTCGAAATCTTTACCCAATTTATGATTCTAAGGCACCTGGTCTTAATTCCCTTGCAAATATGATTGCGTTGACATAGAAGTATGATTTAATCTCTAGCTAGATACTTCTATGCGTTCCTGGGAAAGACGTGATTTTGATCGTGTTTGACGACCTAAGAACAAGGAATTACAGAGAAGAAATGTTAAAGTTGTTAATTCATAACAGGCTAGTGTATAGAAAATGTTATACGGCCGTATAACCCTAACAAATTTAGATACAATCTGCTTGCATGCTTTCTACAGAAACTGTGTTAAATATATAATCTAGTAATGTAAAATTTGTCATTGACAAACATTTTCTATATACTAGCCTGCTATCCATTGAGAAAAATGACAACTGATGGTGTATGTTTCGTCCTCTTTTTACTAATTATATTAGCATAAGAAAGGAGGCAACCATATGATTTAGTTTTTATTTTAATATACCTCCTATGTAATTCTTTGTTCTTAGGTGACGACAAAGTGATTTTATTCTAAGGGTTACGGTTTTCCTTCGAGGTATAAAACCCTAAAAAGTGACAAAATGTTCTACGTGATCAAGTTTATCGTTTCATCGACAGGAGGAAACGATTCAAAACTGACTTGATGACTGTGTCTCTCTCTCTCCAGTATTATGTATTTTGTCAAATATTTACTTTTATGATGAGGAATTGTCAGTGGAATAAAACGACGGATACTTTGTAATATTATTACAGAAATGCTTTATTATAATTAATGTCTAAATATATGGATCATCATATAAATGTTATCTAGTACAACCTACAAGGCGAGACGGCCGGAACGGCGATCAGTCAAACCTCGCCGCTCCTGGCGCCTCGTCTTAGTCCATCACATACAGGTTTTACAAATCATTTTGTTAACATTTTTGTACAGCCATATACAATAATTTTATTTTCAATTACATCTAGACGTAAAAAATCTGAGGTGACGTAGGAAACTACGCTTCCTATAAAAATTTTACACGGGGAATGAGGAGTAGCTACGCTTGTGACGTGCAACCGGCAAGGTAGACCTCGGAACTACAACTATCAGTACAGGACTTTACAATCATCACTATAACCTAATGCGAGGGCGACTACCGCGCGTCCGCTGCGTCCGCTCGCTCGCGTTGCTACGTACTAACATAAGCATCGTTCATTCAATAAACGCTCGCTCCACATCTCGGAGACTCATTAACTAAATAACTTAATTACATAAAAATATACAAAAATATCATTTTCACAAAATTATAATCGACAAACTATACATTCCGGCACTAAACAATATTCGATAAACTATGTACGATTTTGTAGCCGGTTTTTAACTTAAACGAGAGCTGACTTGAAGAATAGTATAGAATAATGTAATCACGACTTATAGTGCCGATTGTCTAGAACTGCCTGCGGCATTTCTTCATCACTTTAGAAGATTCAAGGTCCCCTAGCCCAGCTAATAGTAAATCTACAACGAGCTAAATTACGGAAACGCAAGGGGTTCGCCGACCGCATGCTTTCCTTCGATTCATAAATTACACAAGAATGAGAGACTTTCAAATATTTATACATAGATTCATACGAACAACGAATAATACTAGAACACTTAAGAACTAGAAACGCAATAAACGCTACGCCGCGGTGACGCGACGGCCGAGCACCGGTATCGGCGTCGACGCTGTACAACTATGGTTACAGTATACAGTATATCGTATCGTTCTGTACATCAGTCTGCCGCTACGTATGTACAGGGCGCCGCAGCCCGCGCCGCCACGCTGGCGCCGCGCTGTCCCGCTGCAGTGCTGCAGTATTGGGCGGCTGTGCTAGACAGCGTGCTACCAGCGGTCGGCTCCACGAGCTCTATAGTTACAAATGTACAATCGCAAATATTCACAAAATTTATAATAGGCGGGGGGTTACCCGCGCCGTCGCATCAGCCTAAATCCGCGGACGTCATAATACTTTACACAGACTACAGGACAGGATTGGGCTGCGGCGGACCGATGGGGCCCAGCTCCGGAGCTTTCATGAAGAATTTCTCCAGTTTGGCGATTATATGTTTCCCGTACGTGTACTTGCGCAGTGAGCCGATGTGCGGCCGAATCTTGTGCATGAGAACTTTGCGCTGAGTCGGTTCCGCTACGTCGATCATCTTTTGTACTACGTAATTTGCGTACTGGTCTTTCATCATCACGTGGAGAGCACTGAAAAATGAACGACTGCGCTCAATTAAACAGACCATGGGGTATCTAGATCAAAAAGAGAATTAAGCAAAGCATTTTAGATGACAGTATTGAGTACTTTTTAAAAATTAATTACTCCAATTAAACAATTACTAAAAATAATAAAATTTAAAGTTTGAACTGAAATTACTTGCATATAATCAAAATGTGTAGTCCATTGATAGCACAGAAAACACATTGACACTGACGGATCTGACAAATATTAAATATATAGATCCGTTAGTATTCTACGACAATGACGATATACACACTATCACTTTGCAATAAAATGTGACAAGATGTACAACATGTTTAGTATATTAATACATTAATTTAGATAATATGGCCTTGATATAATTCAAAATAGTGAATGATATTGATTCGTATCATTCAGGATGTAGTATGCATAATTAATAATAATATGTAAGTTTTCTTGTTAGGCAAGAACCGTGATAATGAGATAACAGACAAAAGCAACTGACTTGTCGTTGAAGCCGCAGAGCTCGTCAATGAGTAGAGCGCGTTCGTTGCGCGTGGCGTGCGTAACGCATTTCTCGACCACGTTGGAGGCGAATTTGTGCTGCGACAGTTGCAACACCTTTCCGCGCACCGCCGCCACCAACCGCGAGCGGTCCTCCGCCGCGCCGTGTTCCAGCACATGCTGTACCACGTAGTTGCCGTACTGATCCTGTCAATCGGATTATTCAACTTCATACGATATCCACGTCACAACAAAAATGGAACAAATGTAATTCTGTATCAGACATTATAATATCCTGAGAACTTAAATTTTTTTAATAATTAATTGCAGCTTGATATGATTTCCGACGCAAAATTTTAAATGCATTAATACAAATGTATACAGACTCCTTCAAATCGCGTTTTCTTTTAAATTGCTTTTTTTTCATATTTGTATTTCGGTTTGAATTGTTGATGATATTCATATTTCTGATCATGTCTCATAATTCATCAATAATGTGATAATTGTTCAATTATGATAGCAAATATAGACCTGTATAAGCTGGTCGGTGTGCGCGTGAAGCTCGTTGAGTACGGGCGCGGTCTGGTCGGGCGTGCAGTGCTCCAGGATGCGCTGAATAACGCGACAGCCGTATGGGTGCGTCGATAATGCGTACACTTGTCCAGCAAACGCGTTGATTATAAATTGTAGTGCACCGGGCTCGACACATTCAATGCACTTTTGTACCTGCAGATTACATACATAATAATTATCCAAATTTTCAAAACACAGCAAAGGCAGCATTACAGTAAATTGGGAACAATTAGTAAAATTAAATTTGAAACCAAAAGTAGAGTAAACTTTTTAAATTTGGGGATTTGGGGATTGGAAAAATGTCGTGTAACGAAAAAACAAAAAAGAGGTAAAATAAACATAATTGGGGATAGTGAGATTTTAACAATCAATGTTTAAATAAATATAAACAAGTAACCACACAATCATATAAACAAATAAAGATAAGATGAGACCTTAAAGAAATGAACACTGATGTCTGAATAGACCTAAGCTAATTTCTAAAATAGTCCAGCTGACAATCTTAGCTGGGACTTCATTGTCGCAAAATTATGTACCTACCACTGAAAGAAATTAAAGTTGTTACTGATTTGACCTCATTGTTTGACTAGATTCATCATTCATTTGAAAATCCATTCAACTTTTATGCAAATAAGTTATATTAATTAAAATAGAGTTAACATTCTTTTCATGATCTTTACATTATGAGGAAGTGTATTTGTTATAGAGCTATGGAAAAGGGTAAATTACTGTATCATGGGAGTTTTGCTACATGACAGAATCTTAAGATGGACTACATTTCGAAATAAAGATATTTACATAGGAACTAAAATAAACAATCATTAAGCTGAACTCGACAAAATGACAATGAATGGAGGAAAAAAGATCTATACAGTCAGTGACATTTTTAAATGTATAATATCTATGATGGTATGATAGCCAGTATCATTCTTCGAGGAATGGAATTCTCTAAATTAGATACTTACAACGTGGTTTCCATTTTGATCTTTGACACATTTAAGCACGTGCCCGTCAAGTTCTCGGACCACCTCCTGTTGTTGCTCGGCAGGGATAGATTCTAGCGCCTTCTGAATTACTCTACATCCGTACATTTGCAGCGCTAGCGCCAAAACATGTCCGCGTACCTGAAACAAGAGAATCTCAGTTTAATCACAATACAATATTCAAAGAGTATAATAGTATGTTCTTGTCTATAGGCGTTAGTTTATCACTTTTCCATTAGGTGGGTTGTCGATTTGTTTGTTGCGATGAAGCGATGGAGTTTCATATTCGTGTGGGAATTACTCTGAATTACTCTCTTTTTTTCTCTCTGGCAACACTGCCGATAACAGTCTTTGTCAGTTGGCTCTTATTTATTTATTGTTTTTAATTTATTACTTGTGAAATAACGATACTAGTGTATATAATCAGTGAGTTTTGGTCATAAGTAACGTCGATTGTTGTTGGTGTGTAAATCTGTGATTTCTTTGTGACAAAAATCTACGTTACAAAATTTGTGGGACCGCCAACTGTCAAAGTATTGGTAATTTACAATAGAAGTCTTGGATTTCTATTGACTCCTTTAATAATTAAATGCAGTTATTACACTTCACTATTACTATATCCATTTACAAATAAACAATAATATTAAAGTCAAATATTCTATAGTGTTATATTTACTGTAGTGGTAATATATAAGATTAATTATTTTTTTTTTGTAACAGTATTGGTATTTAAAGTTTTTACTAACAATATTTATTTATTTATTTATTATTAAATTATTTATTGTATTATTTTATTGAAGGGAAATAGCGCACTTTCAACACTGTATTTCTTCTATTGAATAATATTCATTGTTGTCTTGTTTCGTAGATATTTAACATAATAATTAAAAATGATGTCCCGCAGAGCATGTGATCTTGATGCTAAGCTCAAGGTGACACTCTTAGAGTTAAAAAAATCCAATGAATTAAATAAGGCCTTATTACAGGAACGAGATGAAAGTGAGATTGAAATTAAGTTGATGTCTGATAAATATGTGGCTCTGAAGAATGACCTAGTGAAGATCAGTACAGACTTTGAAGTTCTACATATCGAAAAAGAAAAACTTCAAGAAATTGTAAATAAATATGATCTGTGCAGAGACACATATGAGTCAGCATTGCAGAAAATCACTCATCTAGAGCGGCACCTTGAGGAAGTACAATCACAAAATAAATCTTTGTTGGATCACAGGCGGTTGAGTAGTTATAACGAGACCATGGATCTGTATACAGAAATGTTAAATACTACTAGTGATCAAACATCTGCTCTGCCCCTTGTGACCATAGATTTGACAAATACACCAAGCTCCTGTAGTCCTAATAAAGTACCTATTAATAGTAGTAAGAAGTTAAAAAAATATGTAAAATTAAATAAATTTATTCGAAAATCAGAAAATTTAGTGAAAAGTCATAAAAAGTGTTTAAAATCAATTATTACTAGGAAGCAAAAAATTGACTTATCAATAGAATTAAATAATTTTAAATAAAAAATATATAACAAAGATTTAGAAATAGATGAATTATCACAAAAAATTAAACTATTAGAGAACTCGTTGTCCAATTTATCTTTGAAATACGAATCAGCTAAGAATGAAATACATGAATATTCTGATCAGTTAGATAATTTAATAAAATTGGGTAACTACAACATGGAGCGGTTTGTTTCTCTTACGGATAGATGTCACTGTAATTCACCAGAGTCTGATAACTATATCCAACCGTCCCACCATAATCAGTTGAACATTGATATCTCATCCGTCACGGAGCCAGACGTTTCATGTTTACCCACACGAAACAGTACAAAAGTAAATAAATGCAGCACTGTACATGAAACCACCAGGAGAACAATTGTTTATTCAGATGAATTTGGCGAGGATTTAGGTAGTTTATTATCGAACTGCCTCTCGCAACAAGTAATAAATAATTGTTTTCCGGGATCAGGTATATATAAGATTATAAAAAATATAGTAAATGAAAAATATGATATTCACACGACCCTAGTAATAGCGTTAGGGAATTGTTTGCATATGCGTAAATCTGATATAGTTAATTTAATAAAATCATTATATAATATAGTGGAGCTTGGTATAGGTAAAATATTATTATGCGCATTTCCCTACTCTCAATCCCTGACTAATGAACAGAATAAGTTCATTTATAGTATAAATAATTTAATTTATTCGATGACATATCATTGTAATGATATATTTTATTTTGAAAGTAACAAATTTGTTACAAATTATTATATGACGGGAGGTAATTTTTATCTTCCTAAAAAACAAAAAAAGACTATTGCTAGTTTACTAGCGTATAACATTTATGATCCCATTATAAGTAGTATAACGGGTTTAATTAGTAATATTAGTAATTATACTAATAATGTGACATGTGTTAATTTAAACTAACATCTACGACATTGGTTAAGCCACAGGATATGGTCATTATTCATCAAAATATTCGTGGCTTCTCCAGCAAAGAATTAGAATTAAGTCTTTTCTTAGAATCTAACAATGTACGGGTGTTATGTCTGACAGAACATTGGCTTAAACAATATGAAATAATTTGTCCTTTTGAACATTATAATATAGCTAGTTTTTTTGCTAGGAACAATGCCATTCATGGCGGGTCATTATTATTTTAAAAAATGATGTAGAATATAAAAACCGTCAAGACATTGTAAATATTTCTATTGAGCAAACAATAGAACTATCTTGCGTAGAATTAGTTACTTGTATAATAATTTGCGTTTATCGTCCGCCATCGGCTTGTTTTGATTCTTTTGAACTGGCTATGGAGGAAGCATTGAGACGAGTCGCACGGAGGAATAAAACATTATTTGTATGTGGCGATTTTAATGTTGATTTATTATCGGAATGCTCAATAAGCTTAAGATTGATTAACTTATTTAAATCATTTAATTTGCACAATCTTTTTTTAGAACCCACTAGGGTCGCAGGAAATTCTGCCACTTGTATAGATAATGTTTTTTGTAATTGTGAAGTAAAGGTGAAAATGAATTTCGACTGTCTTGGATCTGATCATTACGGACAAAAAGTTATAATTGAAACTAAGGGATCCAAAGGGACTCAAACAATTACATGCAGACAAATAACACAAAAGAATTTGGCACGTTTTAAAAATAAAATTGAACATAAAATATCTAGTGTCATAGTACCTCAATATGACCCGGACATTGTATGTGAACATATTTTTAATTTAATTGAACATGAAGCTAGCAGTGAATTTAAAACAAAAACATTTTCAACTAGTGTAAAATCAAAGTTTTGTGACTGGGCCACGTTTGGTATTTATAAGTCTAGGGCTAATCTTTACGAACTTTACGAAAAACGAAGCTATATATCCGATCCCTTATTTCATGAACATGTAAAATCTTATTCGAAAATATTTAAAAAGGTTTGTCATACAGCTAAGTCTCTCTATTTAGGTAAAATAATAACTAAATCTAAAGATAAAATAAAAGCCACTTGGAAAGTAATAAATAGCGAAACTGGAAAAGTTAATTTTCAAAATAGCAAAATAGCTTTAAATATTAATAACAAATTGGTAAATTCCGACACAGAGGTCGCGCATACATTCGAATCTTATTTTACTAATATTCCATTAATTACGACACAGGCTCTAAAATCTTCCCCGTCTGCTGCTGAAACTTTACTAACAGACAATGTTAGCAAGTCATCAGCTGTATTTAACTTTAGACATACATCATCAGTAGAAATAATGAAAATATTCAAACAACTTAATAATAAAAAAACAGAGGATCTATGGGGTATGTCTGTTAAAATACTGGATAGTATAATGGAAATTATTGCGCCCTCTCTTGCTTTTATTTTCAATAAATGTATAGATGAAGGTAAATTTCCTAACATAATGAAAATTAGTAAAATCATACCGCTTTTTAAATCTGGAGATAGGAGTGACCCAATAAATTATAGACCTATATCCATACTCCCAGCACTCAGTAAAATTTTTGAAAAAATAATCCTTATGCAACTTGTCAGTTATTTCAATTTAAATAATTTAATCCACAATAGTCAATTCGGTTTTTCCAAAGGTCGTTCAACTACAGACGCAGGTGCAGAGTTGCTTAGACACGTATTTGCTGCATGGGAAACTAAAATGGATGTGATAGGTGTTTTTTGTGACCTTTCTAAGGCTTTTGATTGCGTTGATCATAATACATTGCTAAAAAAACTTGCTTTTTATGGCGTCAAAGACAATGCTTTAAATTTAATAAAATCTTATCTATCTGATAGAATACAGAAAGTGAAGATTAGCAACGCTACGTCTGACGGGTCACTTGTGCAAATGGGTGTACCTCAAGGATCTATTCTCGGTCCATTTTTATTCCTAGTTTACATTAATGATCTCCCATATGCCATGCAGGATAGATGCGGCATAGTATTGTTTGCAGACGATACTTCATTGATTTTTAAAGTTAATAGAATGACTAATAATTATGACGATGTAAATAGTGCTTTGCGGCGTCTCCTGCACTGGTTTACAACTAACAATCTTATGTTAAACGCTAAAAAAACAAAATGTGTTAATTTCTCTCTATCTAAAAGTTTTAATACTAATTGCAATATTAAATTAAATGACGAATCTCTCGAATTCATAGACTCTACTGTCTTTCTAGGAATCACACTAGATAATAAAACACAATGGGGTGCACAAATTCAAAGCCTTGCAGCGAAACTAAGTTCAGCAGCTTTTGCCGTGCGTAAAGTTAGACAGTACACTGATACTGATACTGCTAGATTAGTCTATTTTAGTTATTTTCATAGTTTACTCTCTTATGGAATATTACTATGGGGAAAAGCGGCAGATATTAAGAATATATTCATATTACAAAAACGTGCCGTTCGAGCGATCTACTGTATGAAGAGTCGTGACTCATTAAGAGAGAAATTCAAAGAGGCAAATATTCTCACCGTTGCTTCTCAATTTATATATTCAAATATTCTATATGTTCATAAAAATCTTGACTTATTTCCAAAAACAGCAATATTCATAATATTAATACTAGATTTAAAGACAAACTTGCTGTCCCCAAGTATCGTTTAGAAAAAGTTAATAGGTCTTTTATGGGAATAGGTATAAAAATTTACAATAAGATACCAAAGGATATGTTGGAATTACCCTTAAATAAATTCAAAACATCTGTTAAATCATATTTACTGAGCAAAGCCTATTACTCACTAAACGATTACTTGAATGACGAGTGTGCATGGCAATAGTTGTTCATGCACTGAATTTTCATTTAATGTTAGACATAGACACCTATATAAATATACATTGTAAATAAACTGGCTTTAAAAAAAAAGTAATTCAATTGAGTTTCTTGCCAGTTCTTCTCAATTGGATCTATATACCGAACTGGACGGTAGGGTAAATATAAAATTATAATGTACAAATTTGACGTTCATAAGCGGCTAAAATGTCCTACGTGAATAAATGATTTTTGAATTTGAATTTGAAGTAGCATAAGCTTTGAAATGCTGTGTTGTATTTTCATAGATATAAAAATTCGTTGAGGATCCCAATTGCGTGTGAAAGCTCTATCTGTGTATAGTCGCTATGTAGTCTTCTCACTTTCATAATAAAATTAAAAAAACATACGAAAAATGTTTAGTATTTTTAGAGGATTATGGTACAAGAGAAAATTGTAACAAAAAATAAAAACAAAATACACAGGATCTCAAGGTGACCTATCTAGCTGCTAACGTTTATTATTAAATAACATTGTATTTACTGCGTCGTAAATAAAGTGTCTCGTAACAAGGCTTGGTCAGGGCAAAAGTCGAGTACATAATATCAAGGACATATAGGTATTTACGTATAATATAATCAATAAGAATATAAAGTGGGAAAGAATATAAAAAAACATGTTTTTGTAATTAATTACCTAACGTTAAAATTTAGAATATATATCCATTATATTTCCACTTACCGAGTTGCAATAAGAATACCCATAAAAAAAATTAACATTATGAATTTTAAAAGGTGGTTCCTTCAATCTTTTCTTATTTAGATAATTAAAATACAGTTAAGTTTTTTGTAATTCTATGTGCATTGTATTGTTATACATCTTTAGTTATTTAATTGAATAACTTGTATTTTGGATCATGAGTACCAAATACAATTTCACCACTGGTTTAGTCGCACGTGTCGTCAGAGTTATTTTGTTTTTTTGTCGTTGATAGTAATACATGTAGAAGTTTTCTCACTATAATACCACAACTAGAGTTGAAAGTACAGCGCATTCGTCGTATCTCAAACTTTCGGTTTCGTAAATAAATATCAGTAGAAAGCACAGTTTATAAACTTGATAGAGATATATTCTCTTAATTATATGTCAATGTTCTATAGCTCCATTTATAAGTTAACTAAACTAATATTAATTTAGTACACCATTAGAACCGATTTCTTGAATTTTTATCTTTTTAATAGTAGAAACCACGATAAAATTGTAGCAAAGAATGCTGCCAACGAGCATAGTACTCATATTATGTTCCTTCTTTTTTGTCGCGAAGAAAGAAAACCGTTAGTAACGCTCTCAATTTTCGACCTCCTTTTACCCTTCTGTTACTTTTTCTGTTTATTGCTTGGCTTTCACTGTTTAAAAACTAATTATATTTTGCTTTAATACCTACTTATTTATGTTCATAAATATTAATGTAATGTGTATAAATACACTTATATATCTACCTATTTCAGCAATATCTTTAGCAGACTGCGTAAGTAAAGTAAGAGTATTGGTATTCGAGAGTATTATGTTTATGTATCTAATATATATACAAAGCACAAACCTGAAACATTTATATAATAGTATGCCTCAATTTTTGAAGCAGAAAACAGTGATTATAAGGCCACAGTGTGAAACGAGTAAACTATTATATCACACATAAAACATTAGACTATAAACATAATAGTAGTTTGATTGGGTTTTGTATGTCCACTTGTTAATAACTTACCTTTTGTGCCAACGTTGTTTTTTGTTCAGGCGTTCCAAACTCAAAGAATTTTTGTATAACGTAATTTCCGAAGACGTCCGTCATTAGATTGTAGGCTGCTCCGATTATTTCATTAAACACCATTTGTTTTTCTTGGACTGTGGCCCGTTCTAATTTTTGTTGTATAAACCTGTAACAAATTATCGTGATTATTAGAGTACATCAGTGTGTAGTTAGCGGTAGTGACTGGTAGGCAATGTTGCAACTAACAAAGTGAATACTGCGATTCCATATTACATTTTAGAACAGTACTAATATTTATAAAGGAGCCTATTCAATTTAACGGAAATACGTTGCATTATTGAATTAATTATTATATTTTCATCTCAATGATCTTTGTACTGTCGTGAATATACAAGTGAAAAATTAATAACAATATTTTTAAGATAAATGATGTCCTAAAAATTAAATATTTATATTTAAAAAAATAAAAATATTTAATTTTATATATAGGATACCATTTCTGGATACCATTTTGAAAATACCATTCTGAAAATATGATAGTCTTATACTTAAACAAAAACCAATGTGCAATAAAATACACAACACACACACGAAAAATTCAAAAAGGATTTTACTTCACAAAATAATACATAGCAATTTTAATTGGGACATAATTAAAATGACAAATTCTATTATAATAACAATTCGAAACATTCAATCAAATAATACATTTTCGATTTGTCGTTTTTTCCAATATCGTGGGCATCAGTAGACTGTTTAATTGTCGATTTATTTATTTATATTTTCACTTAGTTCTATTAAAACAGCTTATAGATAAATACCTGGAGCCGTGTTGGTCCTGTGAAAACTCAACGATGTGGTTAGCCAGATCCCTGAGCTGCAGATTTGGGAAGCGGTTGTTGCGGAAGTCCTCGAGGAGCCGCGATCGGCCGGCTGGGGGTTTGTCCGCGACGAGCGCGCCCACCGACACGCCGCCCACCCCGCCCACGCCAACGCCGCCTACGCCCACGCCGCCCACGCTGCCCACCCCGGCGCTCACCAGTTCTGCAACCCCAAAAGAGCCGCACTACAGCCTTTTGCTTTTGTTAAATAGGCATATTAAGATTTTTCTTACTGGGCATAGAATGTGATGATATAAAAAAATTAATATATATAATATTAGGGAATTCCGAATTCTAAGAAATATATTTTAACATTTTAAATTGAAAAATTCACTAAATTGTTAAATTCCGAAACGATCATAAATATAAAGTATTTATATCTAATCGTTTCGAAATATTATGACTTATCTTGCAAAGCGATGCCAAATGAGAAAAAATACACAATAATCATAGTGTGCATTTTTATCAAAATAACAGTAGACGAAATAAAATGAAAAAAAAAAAAAAGTTTTTATAATTTTTTTTTCTTTTGACAATTTCAATAAATAAATGCTAAGATTCTATACTAAACACTCCAAGTAAGAAAAAAAACATTATATTTAAACGTAGTATCAAAAAGTGTTCACTATTTCGAATCAAAGAAAGTAATGGAGGTCGTTCGGTTAAAACGAATTCTAACGGACACGAAAGAAATGAAAAGGAATACGATAAGACTGGCAAAATCTTGAATTAGTTGTCACAAGTTCAAAAAAAAATTAAGAAATTAAACTTTTTTTTTTTAAATTATAGTTTAACTAGCTTTTATCTGTGACTTCGTCCACGGATATGTTTACTGACGGGAATAAAAAGTAGCCTTCTCAATCCCATATATCAAATTTTATAGCGATTGGTTAAGCCGTTAAGGCGCTATAAATAAAAGTGAGTTTGTTTGTTTGTTACCTACAAACAAACAAACTAATTTTTACATTTATAATACTAGTAAGGATAAATACTCATACAGGAACTAAAACGTTAATCATAAAATATATTTTTAATAAACTATTAATAAAATTTTAGAATATCATAGTGAAAATAATTTCAAAGCTTGAAAAGTAAAATATACGAGTAAAGTAGATACCAATTTTTATTAATATAGATTTAGGGCCACTTTGTTCAATGAAAAAGTTTTTTGGGAGATAATTTTTTAGTAATCATTTTCATATCTAGGTGTAATAACACTTCGATATGGTCGGTTAAAATAGTATAAATCTAAAGGTATGAAACACGTATAAATAACGTCGTGACGTCGTCATTCTACATAACTTTGAGAATACGAACTCGACATCTTTCCCCATTTTTTTAGTTCACTTTCAGATACTCTAATTATTACCCATAACATAAAACAAAAACTTATTATTGTATGTAGGTAAAGGTCTCTAAAATAGCAATTAATATGTCATTGTTCAACGGTTAATTGGCACAATCGTCACCCTTGCCAAATGTAGATGATTACCAATTATATTAATACACGCTGGCTAAATTTAGAAAATTGAAAAATAATTCAGTAGAACTAGCAAGTGGATAACCAATATAATTAAAGATACGTTTACGCCACCGCACGCTTGTGATAGAATGAGACAACGCGTTCGACATTTTATTCTTTCCCATTCGTGCGGTAATGTATACGTATGAAAAAAATAGATTCATTTGCCTACAATGCCAGTTCCGGTATTCTTGACATAGATAGCAATCGCCTACTGAGTGTGTAAACAGTGGGCCCATGTCGCCTCGTGGTTCGTGTCGTGACTCGCGCGAGAGTGTAAACAAGCTATTCCGATTCAACAACCGAATTCGGTCGGTAGGCGATCGCTATTTACGTCCACACTGAAAAAAAAAATCTATAGAATCAGATTCCCAACTCCGAAAGTGCCTAACTAATAAATTATCTATACGCAAAACAATAGTCAGTAGAATGACGCTTTAGACAATAATATCTTAGTTTATCAAGAATGGAAGGTATGGGTTGCGCAATGGGTGGTGCCCATGGCATTTGTTGTTCAAATCAGTAAGCGACGGTTATCCCTTTTCATATGGTTTGAGCATATTTGAGAACGAAAACTGGTGGAGACGGTAGTCAACAAAGGGAATATGACTGATGATGATATGCTTATAAAATGCTACACTCGTTTTGCCCATATTCTTAGTTCTGTATTTATTCTCCAAGGTAAGGTAGGTTGTTGACAACTATATTTAGCGTTATAAGAATGTAATGCTAAACGAAAATATTTTTAGACATAGAAAGTAGTATGAAGAGTCTGGGCAAGATACATGACCTGGTGTGGTTATTGTATCAAGATACAATAACCACACCATTTATAAGTTATCCTGATAAAACGTCAAGATATCGAAGTAGATATGGATAAAAGCGGTACCGACACTTGCGGACATGAATCACAACACCCAGGACTACGTTACCACTTCTGAGGGCTTGAAGATGTTATGCCACTTGTTGACAGATCACTGGACAGTTAGTTGTTAATGTAAATTATTATATTCTATATTGTAAACAATGTCTTTTCCTAAATAATTCATAACTATCGAACAAATGTCAATTTTTACATTTGGTTAAATCAACACATAAAGACGTATAAATTATATTCTATAAAACATATTATACAAAGTATATGTACACGGCAATGTTGGTTATACAACAAAACTATTTACAAAATGTACAACAACCCTGAAATAGATATAATTATTATTTGTTTTTGTATCATGTACTAACCTGAGATAGTTCCCACTCCACTGAGTTTGCTGAGTAATGAAGATGAAGATCCAAACATTCCGTTGGACGTGAGACCTTGGGCTAAACTGCTGACAGCTCTGCAATGTATAGATAACAAATTTCAAGAACAGGCACTTGGTGCATAATAATAATCAAACGGCAACGATTTTAAAAAGCATGCTAATAAAAAAATGCGTAACTGTACAAGAATGACATTTTAATATACATGTTATGAAAAATATTTACAATGTACATAAGTGTCCAATAATCACTTCGAACTTTATAACAATAACGGTATAAAATTACACTTTTTTTGTTGCATGGAAATTTATAACCATTGTTTACTAATTTGATGTCGTTAATTTTAAAATTATCCTCAATTTTTAAAGATACAGCTATAGGTCATATTTTTATATTAGTTACAGGTAACTTTAATAACTTTAACTTTAATACTTTTTTGTTAGAAGTCTTTTTTTTATAATGTTTACGACAAGAAATATCTGTAAACACGACTCCAACAATTTCTATGACATCTGCTGTGAATATATATTTAAAATTTCAGACTTGGTGTATTGACATTCGTAAAAAGTGTGCATTTTAATTATTTTTGATTTTCTTTGAACACTCGCGACAAGTACTGGGTACCTTGTATGTAAAATATGCGTGGAGTTTTTGAGATTATAGGCAAACAAGAAGAGTTCATTTTAAGTATCAAACACCAATAACTTGGCGAGTATCTTCAAATCATGAGAATGATTGTTATTTCTGCGTGGTTGATATAAACAGGATTACAAAAAAAAAAAAAAAACGGTACTACTTGGTATCTCTTACTTAATCAGTCTTACACTCCAGCAATTCGTCAGTAATAGCATCTTGGATCAAGTGGAACAAATGATTTAATTCCTGATATTTCTTCTGAACCCCGGCCTTTAACCAGGAAAAGCTCAATGCATTAATTAGAGACCTTGGCCTTATTAAAACAGGATCCAAGAGTCTAGTTTCTCCATTAAAGAAAGGCGATTTTTTAACCCGAGAAACAAGAATTCCGTACTATCGTAAAAAAGAGAAAGAAAGAATTGCTTTTTATTCTTTTCTGAAGATGATGACTTTGTTTATTGTTCTAATAATTCTGGTTGGTTTATTAAAAGCAATGGGAGGCCAAAAATATAATCCAAATGAATGTCTCTTATTTATTGATTACTCTAAACATGTCCTAAAAGTGTATAACGACAATAAGTTGGGTTCGTTACCAATTACATATTCAAATAGAGTAAAAAAAGAACAATGTTACTGTAGCTCGTTATGGGTAGAATCAAGTACAACGAACACAAGTAGCTGATATGTGTAGCTTCAGATTTAAAATCAGCACCATGAAAATATACATATAATTTTCATAATCAGTCATAATATTTCATGCAATAAAAATACTATTCCCTTGTGTAATTTACCGTAGAACAAGATCTATACTGACCACAGTTATTAGAATACTAATAGAGTTTAATAATTAAGGTAAGTAGGCATATTTTCGGTTACTGGTTAATAAAGAAATATGAATATGAATATTGACACTAATCGAAAATATAAAACAAATGTTACCTAATTCCGACAATTGACATTTGAAGATATAATATTTACAAAGTCTTAGTAGAATGTAATAAGGAAAAGTTTCCACATACTTTAAATCAACAGTAGGAAAAAATAATATAGTACCGTTAATATGCAAGATTTACTTATTTTTTTATTTATAAATTAAATTGAACCCATTGTGTCTATGCATTTTAATTGCAATGTCTGATATACATAAAAAAGTGATATATATTAACCAAGAACACGCTATTAATGACAAAACTTTCGAAATCCATTAAGTAACCAAATTTTTATTTATATTCTAAAATGGGAAATTTTAGAATAGGTTGCATATTAATTTAACTTGTAAACAAATTATATATGTATTTATAGAATGAATATTATCCAAGTATAATCCAAGAAAATAGTTTGAGATAATTGTCAATTTAACGATGCTTCTAATATTAAGAATAAAATTAACGTATTAACGGTCAATTTCGATCTCTCTTAACATACGCATTGCATCTATTATACATTATATAATATATGCATTAAAATAATATAGCGTGGTTAAATGAGACCTATATCATTGTGTCGATACAAATATTTGCGACTACCACGTGACAAATATTTATGTTGTAGGTTACGCATAATGCACTAGGAAGATATTATCTTTAAACATCATTTTATTAGTATAAATATTAATTCTTTTTTTTTTTTAATATATAATCGGCATATCGTTGAAATATTTAATCTTTCTGTTTGTTGACGTTCGTTCATTAGTTCATGTGGTGTGGTGTGGTGTGGTGTGGTGTGGTGTGGTGTGCCGGGGCAGGACGTGTGTGTATATGTGTGCGTGTGCACCTGTACTTGGCGGTCTCGGCGCCGGGCGCGGCGGACACGGGCCGCAGCCCGACGGGCCCGAGCGCGGGCGCGAGCGTGGGCGACAACGGCGAGGGACCCCACTTGCGGGCGTACTCCTGCAGCGCGGCCGCCGGCCCGCCGCCGCCGAACTCGAGCGAGTCGCGCCGTGCCGCGCCGCCTCCGCCTGCAACACATACCTCTCCGCTCCACACACCGCTCTGTGCCTGTGCCGGCCACCGCTGGCCGCTAGCTAGCGTACTGACAACGTACTCTCTACGCTTTCTGTACACGACTCCGTTTTGATTATGGTATAGGGCTGCGCCGACGAGGGATTTTACGGTGAGATTTTTTTTTTACCAAGAACTCGGCACAATTCTGTGTTCTATTTTGATGTTAAAAAAATACACCTGGTCTCTCTGGTATCCTGGTATCTCTCGTTTACGCAGTTCTATGTGTCTATGTACAATATTTTTGATGGACGTACGTTTACAATGTACACTATTTTTAATACTATGTGAGGCTAAAAATGTTGCGAGATAGATGTCTATACATTTATTATTAAATATTTATATATTATATAATATTATATTATTAAGTAAATTAAAAACACGTGTGAAGTTGAGAATAAACAAAACATGTTTATATAATTAGGAGTCACAATAATTACAGACTTAGCTGCTGCATCTCAAAAACATATAGACATCTTCAAATATAAAGAATAAACTATAATCACATAAAAACTGTATTCACAATATGAAAAATTATGTACAACTATATAAATGTAAACATACAGAACACAAGAAAGTAGGTACGATAAGTAACTACGGATATGAATATACTGTCAACGTAAATCTTGACACAAAAAGCTTCATTATATACGTGTTATAATTGAGAAAAACATAAACGCCTTGTTACTTTGACAAGGCAATCAGACTACAAAGTAACTGCAAAATTAATGCATATAAAGATTAGTATCACACTAGTTACACGTTTAAATTCTAATGATGGTATTAAACTTGAATTTCTACAGGGACGATTATTTTATAAAGATTTTAATATTTAAATACAAGCATTTGTTAAATTGTAATAATATTGCATAGGTATGTGTATATATTTTCATGGAATACAATAAATATGTACACTGTTAGCAATCCTTCATGAAGCACATTTCTTGTTAATCACTATGGTAACTGGCAAAATGATAATAACAAATATTCTTAAAACATTAAATTTATTACAATTTATACCTAGATCAGGCTGTGAATCCTTATTAGAAAACCGTAACAATATTGCAAAAAGTGAGCGTGTAATAAAACTATTTACTCAAAAGATGCGAAAATGTTTGTAAATAGACTCACCAGGGAGGGGTTGTTGTGGTTGTGGTTGCGCGGGCGCAGGCGGCGCGGCGGAAGCGGCGGGGTGTGTCGGCGCGGGTTGATACTGTCGTTGTGCGAGTACACCGCCAGGGGACACTAGTCGAAGTGGAGTGCCATTACGGCCGCTCATCACTAGCGAACCGGCATCGTAATACGGGATCACATATTGTCCCTGTCCGTTCACCTGCTGCTCGCCCTGCTGGGGAGTCAGCGGTCTCCGCGGTTGCTGCGCCTGTTGTTGCGCCGGCTGCGCTACAAGGCTCGGGTACATGCCCCATGGTGCGGCTACACCGTAATAAGCCTGCGGTGGTACACCCGCTATCAACGCACTAACATACGGAGCGCCCTCCTGACCGGCATTGATCACATACGGTGCTTGTGTGAAGGCCTGTTGCGCGGCCAGCTGTTGCTGTAGTTGAAACTGTTGCTGTTGTTGTTGTTGCAGGAGTTGGAGTTGCGCCGCCGCCGCCTGCCCGCCGGCCGCCGCTTGTTGTGATCGGAATAATTGCTGTAACAAACAAATAATAAATTTAATACTGTATACGTTGAGTCAAAACTAGTACACTAATGTGGAAAAAGATATCAAGGCAGTATGGTGAAAAACAAATCAGAATAGGATGTGAATCGTATAACGTTTTAATTAATGGCGGAACGTATAGTTGTTTTTTAGCGAACAGTACGGCGCTCGAGGGTGGTTCCTGTAGCGTCCGCTAATTAACGCAATCGTTTAAAAAAGTTAATAACAAGCCGCGTATGCTGTCCGATGCACATGCCGACGACAGGTTACTGTTTCTATTTAAAACGATAAACCGTTTAACATGATATAAAAACGAAAAAGTTGTGTAATTTTTTAATAAAAAAAAAATTTTTTTTTAATACGACTTATTAGAAAAATAAAAACAATGGAAAAAGACATCGCACGCACTTATGAAAAACAACAATCCAATTATGTAATGTGTGCCAACTAAAATATACTGCGTTCCCGACTAGTCCAGAGTATTTTGAATGAGGTGAATCACAGCAGTATTGGAGTATGGCGTGTGATGTCATTAGGAGCGCGCGAACTCAATCTACCTGTTGAAATTAGTTGGCGGTGGTCCAGAGCTGTGAGCGAGCGCGAGAGATCTGTAAACATCATGAAACATGGAATATGGAGTACGGAGCGTGCCGTTGCTTCTATTACTAACACCTGCCATTTTCGACCCAATACTGATTCATAACAAAACACATTTATATAATATACCGCGCTACGTGGTAGCTCAGATTCACTTTATTGTTCCAAACTAGAAAATATACGGTCAGTTCACTTTAGCGAACATGTGCTGAAGTTATCTTAGCAAGACATGCCAGCAAGCTGTGTACATCAACATGTTTAACTCGGGCTAAGTTAATTGATAGTTACCAATTATGGGTATACGAGGTCTGTCCGGAAAGTTCGTATAAAAGTGTTCTGGAATGCGAGAAAGAGGAGTGGGGAGGCCAGGTAAGCGCAGGACCCCTTCCTTATGTCCCTAACAATGCTTCAGTTCTGGTCTGACCGCCGTGCGGTGCGAACTGGCTTGTATCTGTGAAGTTACCTCTTAACGAAACCCCGTCGGCATGGAGCCCGCTTCCGTTGAAGAGCAGCGCATCGTAATCAAGTTTCTCTCGAAACTCGGCAAGAATGGCCGTGAAATTTTTGCCGATCTCAGAACAGTTTATGGGGATGATGCTGTGAAGGAACCAACCGTCCACAAGTGGCTAAAAAGATTCAGAGAGGGCCGAGAAAGCGTTCAAGATGACCCACGTTCAGGACGTCCTTCCACTTCACATTCCGACGAAAACGTGGAAAGAATTCGAACCTCCAGGCCAGACAGTTGATGGAAAATTCTACGTCGATGTGCTCAGACGCCTCAAAGCTCGTGTGGCACGAGTTCGTCCAGAATTGGCGCGAGAGGGGCGTTGGATTCTTCACCACGACAATGCCCCTGCCCACACCTCTCTTGTTGTCCGTGAGTTTTTGAGTAAAAATTCCATTACGGTGACCGAACACCCCCCTATTCGCCGGATTTGGCCCCGTGTGACTTCTTCTTGTTCCCAAAAACCAAATTGGTACTTCGGGGGCGGCATTTGGGGGACATAAATGAGATAAAAAAAGCTACGACGGGGCAGCTGAGAAACCTACAACCAGAGGACTTTCAAGGAGCCTCCTCACAGTGGAAACGGCGTTGGCACAAGTGCATTATGTCACAGGGGGAGTACTTTGAAGGGGATAAAATTGATTTACCTGAATAATTGTAAAATAAAATTTTTAAAAAACTTTTATACGTACTTTCCGGACAAACCTCGTATAGTGAATGAATAAATACTTGTTCGATAAAGACTTCAACTCGAATTTGAAGTTGATTTTGATATCTACATAATCTGGACTTATGGCTGCGCTGTAAATATTATGTACGGGTATATATGTAACATAGCTCGTAAGAGATTATTAGGCGTGAGTAATGGTAAATATGTTGACTAAAATATAAAATATTGACCGTAAATATATCAAATATTCTTATGCATCAATGAAATTATTTAGATTTAAGTCGTTATTACTGTTGTGATTTAGTTTTATATATTTCTTGTACATAAAACTTCCCTTCTAGTCAGTATGTTTCAAATACAAATTAAAGTAAGTTTCGTTTGGGCAATTTAATGTCAATTTCATACTATTTGGAATTTTTACAAGCAATGCTTGCAATAAAAATGTAGGCGTTTACTTAATTTAAAGACAAGTATGCAATAATGAATTCATTTGTATTTATTACAAATACTCATACACTGTCTTGCAATTTTATCGAAATCAAAAAAACAATGTATCTATTTGGCTTTAGAAAACACCCCTAGACAATTATGACAACTCCATCATATTATAAAAATATTTCATGATCATATTAGAATAAAAATAACAGTAGCTGTCAACTCATAGTACCGTAAGATAATTAAATTTTATACAAGAAATTAATAATTACATTTTATATCTAATTAAAATCGTAATCCTGAGTGTAAAATACTCAATAGAAGGCTAAAACAGATGCCTGCAAGCTATCGTCGTAATTTTAATTATAGCGCCTCTATATTCCCGAGGCCTATTTTATTTTTCATTAGCTAATTGATACGGAATGATTATCTAATGTCGTAACTTCGCGGACGGCGGGTAAATCTAAAGTATCACTCGTCGAGGCGTTCGCGTTTGATCTCCTGACGCGGCAGGCTCCTGCTTTCACGCCAATTTAATTCATCCAACCGATGTAATTGAGCATTGTGCGAACGCGGTTTGTGCACGTGCACAAAACAGAGCAACTTGACCGCAACAAAATTAAGTCGCCTCTGTTGTCCGGGAAGGTGGCAGCAACGGCGACTAACCGTCTCGCATTCAATTAGACGTTCAGTAATCCGACTGCGGCGAGCTTCGATACCAATTACGAGGTTATTAGTGATGGAGCTCGTGCGCTCCGACCGACCCGGTTACAGATGACGTCTGCGCTTCTAGCTTGACTTTTCATTATCTACTTTACTATTCGAGGTAAATTTTGCTCACAAAATATTCTTAATAAAGTCATACTTTCGTTATAACGTTGAATATGACTTATTCGATATGATATGATCATTTTTATCGCGATAAACGAAAATACATACTGTAGTTTGGTTTTAAATTTATACATTGGAAATTAAATGTTTTTCAAAGTATAATGTAAAATACAAATCAATAAATATAAATTAATTTAAATCGAATATTCATTCGCGTATAATAGTTATTGTTTGACTTTTGATGGGCCACTAATTGGAGTCATCCAAAAATAAAAACCTACACAAAGCAAGACAAAAAAGTATTTCTGATCTTACTTATACTATTGTTTTGCTTATAAAGGTATCTCATTTTAAATATTACCGTCATTGCGTGTCATATCTATAGGACCACAGGTACTATCCTTGATCTATGTATGGTTAAGTCTAATAGATTTATTTTAAATGAAAAGAAAATGTGTTGAAAATAGTAAAGTAACAACGAGGCCTATCTACTATTTAAAAGCCCATCCAAGACTAAACAAACTTCTAAAGGAAACTGATCTTTTTTCAATCGTTTTCAAGGATTACAAAGTGAAGCAAAAAAAATTATTACTTAACATGAGACGGAGAAATTTAATATAGCTAGTTATATAAATAAACTATTTCTCAACTAAAATAATTACGTCCCGTCACATAAGTATTAGTTACCAGCAATTTATCTAGACTACACGTAGATGCTGAGTCACGAACCCAAAATGAGAGCAGATAGGGATGAAAGGTGCGCGGTAGCGACGGCTAGCTACGGTTACGTTGGAATCGGTGAGGGTGTTATTTATTTATTTATGAAGACGATGACGAGAAGATGAGTGTCGCGGTACTCCAGCGAGGATGGCACGCTCCACCCGCTGTCGACAAACAAATTAAACGACAAAGCAATCAATTATAAGGACAGTGCGCTGTGCCTCTTGAATTGAACGCTACGTCAACAAGAAGCTTTTAGTGGCGATGAGGTGCTACGTGCTCCTTGTGAACGCGTCGCCTCCGCATTTAATGTCAAACAGGTTAAGAGTTCAGTAAATTGTGGGAAAAACATTTTAGATGACGACGAATTAGATTGTCTATTGAGTACAAAGGTAATTTGGGGAGAATCGGAATCGACGGGCCGGGAGCCGCAACGAGATTACGGGGATATCCAGGGTAGTCGCGTGCTCATCCGCCTCCGCCGGTGGCTGTCGTATCTTGCTCTAACGAGTTTATCTGCCCCGCGGGCTGCGACCCCGGTGACGTTCATCTCTTTCCCTATCAAGAGCTAAATGTAATTTTCAAAATGACAATCTCGATGTTAAATTTCAGGACAATAGTAATGGTTAAGATATATAGCATACACTCGGCACATTTATTAAACATTATATAGATAAAAGTCGAGTTAGGTTTGGTTTAGTGTGAAATATTTAAATATTAAAAATAAATTTTAGTCATAATTAAATTATTGACTGAATACCTACTAACACGAAAGAGCGTTTACAGATTTCATTGAAAAGGTAGCAAAGGGCGAGGGCGGGTTTAGATGGGCGGAGCAAGGACACGCCCACTTCGCCTACGCCCTATGAGTATTTGACTTATTTTTCTTATTATGCAGTTATAATTATTTTCGGTCCTGAAAAACGCAAATCCACAAAATTATTAAAATTAACAAACCACAATATTCTTGATCTATTTAAATTCCTCTAATAAATTGTTTTGATATATCTATTATTTTTGTAACTTAATAACTTTTCTAATAAAACATTTTAGATGAACACAAATAGTTATAGATGAAAATATTTAAAGCTCCATTAAAGATACAATAGAAACTTTATATAGTAGGATTTTGATCATAACATATCATACACGAAATGTACAAGAAGAATTAAATAGACTAATATTTTAACTCAAATATTTTACCCAATTACTATCAATTGCATTGAAAGCGAG